CTCCCTGCTGCCAGCCAGCTGGGGAAGCTCTGCTGGGAAAGGGGGAGCAGCCCAGCTCCTCCAGTGTAGCAACACGCTTGGATGTAACCAGCACAGGGAGAGCTTCCAGCAGAGCAATTCAGCGGAAAGAACAGTGCCACCTTTTCCTGTCTTCTGGCCATTTGGCACATTGCATTCCTGCCCTGCCCATAGGCACAGACAAGGGGTTGAGAAGGTCAGAGAGGCACCCGGCCTTAGAGATAAGAAATGTAGGGGTTCAGCTGCTTTTAAGCACACACAAAGGCCAATATAAATGTTCAGAAAACCAAGCTGTCTCTACCAGTCTCTGCTCAGAATGTGATTCTCTATAATCATGTCATTCAAAGAGACTTTTGCTAAGTACTGAGGGAAAAGTGGCATCCTTTGGTGAGGGGAGGAAAATGCCTGTTGCTGCAAGCTATCCATCATCTTCAACAAGTCCAAGATGTACTAAAGCTCCCTAAATTTTTATTCCCAGCAGAGCAGGATCAATTCAGTGTTTTCTTGACAGGCAGTCCTCCCATGTCAAAATCTACTTCCCAATACAGTTTTGGAGGCATTCACCTGCCTGGTAGGTAGGATAATAAATAAATGCCCATCATGTCTTTATCTGAGACAAATTTTCTTCTTGCCGCTTTTTCCTTTTTTTTCCTTGCACATTTGGGGAAAACTATCCTCAGGCTCCCTACTCCCCCCTCCACCCCCAGCCAGGAAATAGTCATTTTGAGGCAAGACCTTAAAATTGATGATTTTGAAAGTTTTCCCCATTGCCATGCTGTTCTGCTCCTGCATTCCTGTGGTGCCAACAGATGAAGTTGTAAGCCTGTTCGCCTCCCTGCATCTAATCCTGATACTACTCAGCAGCAGGGAAGGTGGGCAAATGTTCACTAGCAGTTGTTGGCAAAGAAACACAGCAGGATTTAAACTGGATGATGCCACTGCATGTGTAAAACAACCATTTGAGCAAATGCTGCTATAGCAGCATCTTTAAACTGTAAAACAGAATTTGTTGTTAACCTTTTGTGTTCTAGCTAGCTGTGCTGATGAGTTATGATTAATTGTAGTTGTATTTACAAAAAAACTTCAAACCAAAATGAATAACCAATTAAGCTTATAGATAAAAAATATGATAAAAGCTTGTAGCAGTTGTTGTGACAGAATTTCAGTGTGCTCATATATAACTAAAATAAATTGCAAAAGGAAAATATGAATAACATTCTTTTGCACTCTATTGAAGGGTGCCATGTTATTTTTCAGATCGTTTTTCCCATGAACTTGCTTCTCTTCCTTTCCAGTTTTCACAGCCTGGTCTTTAGCTGACGTGCCCCCAGATTTTTCGTGGTTTAAACATACTGATATTATGGCATTCCAGGACTGTTCTGGATGAGGATCACCATAACAGTAATATGCTTATGCACTATTCAAAAGCTTAAGCTCAGCCACCTAGTGACATCAAAACAATGGGTAAAGAGCACCCCAGTTACTGCTTGCCCCCAGGCTCTCAAGTTTCCTTACTTCTGATAGTTTTTCATAGAGACCATAAGAGATCCTTCCTTCAAACTGAGCTCTCTTATTATTTAAAGCGATCACTTTGGTATCTGGGAAATAAAAGTTGAAATATCAGCTGTCAATGCAGCCAATGTTAGGAACAGGAGTGAACTTTTCCTTGAAGATGATGAGAAAAGACACATCACACAGCCAACCACAATGACCTATTGCAGTTCATAAGGCCATGTTTAATTGAAGAAATTGCTTTTTGGCAATGCTGCTGCCTACCTGGGGCATTTAACTGAAGCAGGGTTTCCCATTAGGAAATGTATGCAAGAACATTTTATACCTGTGCATTATCCCCCTGGATCTCCCAGCTGTGCCCTAAGTCCTAAGCACAGGTTCTGTACTTTCTGTTTCCATCCCATATTTGCCACAAACATCATGCGTGTTAGTGCTGCATCAATTACCTTGAATATGAAAATGTGTAAAGCTTGGAGAGTCAGTAAAACCCCTGAAGAGAGACCTGGGCAAGAGTGCCCTGCTAATGGCAGGCCCAGCACCTGCATTAGAAGGAAAGTTGTTTGAATCTTTTCATTTTGACACAGATGATGACCCACACTGGGTGGAATATTGAACAGCTGTAGCCTCACAGAGAGAAAAATCACCCCCTTGAAAAGCAGGGAGATGCATACAGCAGGAGCAGAGCATCTGTAGCCACACTCCCTTGTAGAGGGAGCTCCCTGTGGAATTGCCATCTCCTTCCCACATTGCCTGAATGTCAGCTGGTGCAGCCAAACATTCTGAGCCACCAGGACAGAGGCGGTGGCCGATGCTGCAGAGTGAAGCTCTACTGCACTTACCTGGACACAGAACAAAAACACACACATGCTCAAGGATTTATCCACTGGGATGGGAGATACACACAGAATAGTGAATTCTGTGTGGAAGCAGTGCAGAAAGAAACATGGCTTTTGTGAAGGGACTTGGGGGCAGTACAGAGAAACTTAGAAGGTTAAAGCACACAGCTGTGGACAGTTTTCCCCCTTCATTTGGCAAGACCATTTTTTCCCAGTGCTTTGTTAGAACAAAAAAGTTTTGGAGCACAGATACCAGAAGCAAAATTGAGTTTGACAGAATCAGTTGCTCCACTGGGACCTTACAGGAGAACATAAAACACCTTTTCCAGGGAGACCTTTACACTTCATTTTAGCTGTGCATCCAAGCCTAGGTCAGCAAGATCATAGCAACCATAACATCTAAAAATTATATTCTTTCCATGGAAATAAGCTGGGAAAATATTTGTTGAGTAATGAAGTACATTCTTCTCCTTTATCTGCACCACCTGGCATTGCATAGATCTCAGCTGGGTAAAATAGGCCTCAGAACTGAACTTCAAGCCTTCAAAAATACAAGTTCTCCAGTCACAGAAATTTTGCTTAAATACAATTCCATGTTTGGACTTGGATTTTTGAGCTTTACAGTTCAAACCTATTCTCTCATTCCACTGTATTTATTTTTTAAGTTCAATTCTCATGACTTTGAAAGCTTTCTAAAGGTCAGAAAAGAGAAGTACCAGATATTGCCACCATCACCCACAATGTAACGCAGTCAATTTCATCCTGCTTTAAAGCTTTCAAAAAAACATGGTGACTTTTCATCTCAGGGAGTGTGGTTAAAGGTGTGGATCAGGTATCAGAAGGAACAGAAAGTAAGCCAAATCCTTATCCATTAGATGTGGTGCAGGCTGTGGGTGATGTGATGAAAGAGCTGTCCTGCTGCTGTCATAGCTCTCACTCCTGGGGCAGCAGCATCCACTCCTGGGCACAGCTCCTGAGCATCAGGCCAAGTTGTTTAGTCCTGTATTTATTTAATCTTTGTGGAGATAAAGAAGGATGTTCTCCTGAGAGCTCTTTTGTTTCACTCTCTATCATTTCAATAGGAAAGAGAGCAGAGCTAAAGCCACAAGCAATGGTTTGTATATCTTGTAAGTCTTCTAAAGCCTTGTCATCATATGCTGTATTATGTTGTCTTTTTTACTGAGTGACCATTGCTCTATTGTACACCATCTGCCTTTTTGTGACTTGATGAACCACATTGTAAAAGGCAGAAATCAATAAAGTTCTCCAGAACCCAAAGCCTTGGTGAGAAAAACATTTTCCTGCAGCACCATCTTGTGGTCCCTGATTTTAGTACTGAAAATGTCCCTCCCCTCTCCCTGGACCGGGAAGGATTTTCTGCAGACTTGGGAACCACACCCAGCTTTCAGCAGTTTATTTTCTAGCCACAGAGGTACTGTGAGGAGCCTGGCAAAAATTACTGTGCCCTCTTGTAGCTGACCTGGACCCTCATCGACTTCTTGGAAGGGATAGAATGAACAAAGGAATATTGAATTTGGTTTGATATACATGATACAATCAGCACCCTAGGCACTGGGGAAAAGACATGTTTCAGTTAGATGTGAGGTAATCCCATACTGAAATTGTTCTGTAATATGCTTAGGTCCAGGAGCACAAAATCAAGCAAACAAAAAAAAATGTATGCAAGGGATTGGAATATTCAGTGTAAGCAGGCAGCCAATCAGCTGATCAAAGCATCCACCTTCTGTGACATTGTCAGGACAGTTTGCATCACACACAGGCCTGTGAATAAATATCTGTGCTTTGACCCCAAAGTGGCAGTCTTGACCTTCAACAGTAATGAAATAGCTATTATGACATCTTAGGCACAGAGAGCAGTTATTTAAGTAATACCCATGGCTTGAAAGCTATTAATTCAATGCATTGTCAAGCTAATAGAGAAATTAAAATGTAAAATCAGTACTTTTGTCTTCTCCAACTGAAAAGCAAAGCTTCCAGCTTTTTAGAACTCCTCTACAGCAAAGCTGCTGTATGGAAAAGGACAGGCCCCATGTTTGTGCACTGTGCCCTGGACTGCTGTCCCACTACGGGGAACATACACCTCCTCCTCTAACAGAACATTTTGCTTATGCTCCTCTTGTTCTGGTGCTGCCAGATACAGCTACTGCAGATGCACTGATTGTTCACCCTTAGATACAGTTGCTTTATCAGTGTGACCCTTTGTCAGGATGTTATGTGACATTGAAACCAGTTGTGCTGCCCATGACATGGAGACTGGAGGAATTTATTGCCCTTCAAATCAAAATCATGAATGACCACGTGAAAGCTTAACTTCCTGTAGAGCATAACTCACTCTCCATAATCACCAGCAACAAGGATTTCTCTGCACAGTTCAGCTGTGACAGTGCCTCGAAATTCATGCAGGAGGAAACAGTTTTTCATTTGTTAAAATGTCTATATATGTACTTTACCTTCCATAAAAATAATATAAAAAATGAGCAAATACACATCAGATTTAGAAAGCAAGCAGTGCCCTATTCAGTTTCCATTGTTCTGTTGCTCCACATCAAAAAGAGTGTAATACCTCTGCTTGCAAAATTTTAACCAAATCATCTGTGACACAATGCTTCTGGCAATGGTTGCAATGTCAGCCTTTAATCTCCTGCATATAGTTACATCTGATTGTCAGCAAGCACTCCAACAACTTCATGAGATCTCCTGCATGCATATTCCACCCACATTACACTTGGATTTTAAGAGATCCCTTTTTAGGACTTAGGAAATCAAGAAAAATGTTTTAAACAGGGAATTCTGAATGTACAGAGTTTCAAAGAATCACTCATAATATTTACTCTCCAGCTTAGGACCGAAGCTCCATTCCTGCCATTCCATTCCAAGTTGTAGGTCTTGGAAATTCTGCTGCATGGACTGCACAGCCCCAAAGAAATATGACAAGTGATTGTTATAATGGGTGATACTGACTTCTACTGACATTCTTTTAGGTGCTCACTCTGCACTCAGCTGTCAAAAAGTGTTACACATTTGTTTCTTTTATTTTTGTTACGCTACAGAGAAATGGAAAGAAATTGCATTTTGTAATCACCTAGTTCAGGAGACAGGTCATCCTAAGATCAAAAAGAGTTGTGTGGTGCAGCAATACCCAGCGGAGAGAACAACTCTGAGACAAAGCTCTTGTAGTTTCCTTAAGTACTCTATATTTTTGCTGAGCATATCTTTAAGGCAATTGCCCAACAACAGATTTCCCAAATCCTCTGTAGCCTGGTAAAGAATTAGCTGTTCTCCTCAGCACTACTGTGCTATGGGGACATCCAGTATGGAACCAGAGCAAGCTTCCTCTCAATACCAATTTAATGAGTGACAACACTCCCTTGATCTGTTTCTAAGACTGACCCCTAAGTTGAGATGGACACATAACTGCTGTATTTATATCCCTCCACAGGGATGCTACTGTATGAAAAGAACACACTGACTTTACTGTTCAGGGGTTGCCATGAGCAGTTTGCCTTGCAGTGTTACCAGTTCTTTTTTTTGTACAGGAGGTATGGAATGAGTGCAAGAAACCAGAATGAAAAAAACTTCTACTGAAAAATCAATAGTATTATCAAGGGTTAACAACTTTGCATTACTTCAATGTTAAAATAAAATGTGTCCTTTTCTAGGAGATAGCCAAACAATCCTGATGTCTTCTGCTTGATCTTCAGGATCAGGTGGATCTTCCTATACACCAAAGGGAGAAAAATGACCGAACATGAGCGTGACTTGATTTAGGGACACCTTTACATTTCTGCCAAATCAATACTCTCCCTGAAATATTTATTTATTGTCTAATGACCTCCCTAACACGTTATTATTTCACGCAACCTTTAGTAGGTTATAGCTTGGCATGGTCACATGAAGCAAGTAGCATTTCACTCTCAGATTACATTTATTTCAATAGTCAATTGCTCTTCAGCATTGAGGAAGAATGGCAAGAATGCCAAGGTGTGGAGCAGTGGGAATGCCTCAGCTACAAAGCACCTCTATCCATACAGAAAGACAGGCTCTTCAGTGCCTGTAAATGGATCTCTCTCTCCTGAAAGCAGCAAACCCATTTTGTTTCCACTTTCCCATGCTCCAATTTGCACATGAGATAAGGAACACTGGAGTGGCAGAGGGCTTTAGCCTCAGCCTGGCCATGGCTCTGCTGTCAGCTGGCAGCCCAGGACAGCAACTGAATTCTTGCAAACTCATTCCCTCTCCCACAACAGGAACTGAAGGTGATCCCTGACAATGTCTTTGGACAATTCTACTGCACTGGCAGGCAGCAGGTATTTGGTAGTGGATATCTTTAGTATTCTACACAGACTCAAAGGAACAACCCTAAACTTAGAAGAAAAGAATACCCTAAAGTTAGTTTACCTTCTTTTTTTGTCCTTTTGGTTCTTTAAGTCAGTCCAGTAAGTGGCGATGAATCTCTTCATCATGAATCTTTTTAACACCAACTCTTTTTTCCCATGCAATTTTCTGTACTTCTTTGCTTATCTTTTGTAAAGGATTGATACACGGACTGCAACATATTAAAACAGCTGAAACTGGTTGATTTCCAAAGTAGGAATTTAGAGAAGGTCACCTAGACTTCCGCCAAGAAATCCTAGCTCCAGTGAAAAAAACTCAAAAGGCTAGAGTTGATTCCAGGCCATCATAAGATTCATCACCAGAAGAAAGATTAAGGTGAGGAGAAGCATTTCAATGCTTTTCCCATTTCTTACATTTTCTTCATGAATTTCACCTTTTGATTCATACAGAATCACAGAATCATTCAGGATAGAAAATGCCTTTAAGATCATCAATCCCAGCCATTAACCCAGCACTGCCCAGTCCACACAAGGCACACACAGGCCTGGGACACCCCTTGCTGCCCAGCTCTTCCTGAGAGAGGAATTCCTGCTCAAGGCCAGGATGGGGAAACAGTGCAACCATGACCAGAAATTTCTCCAGTACCAAATCAACAAAATTCTGTTGGCTTCTCACCACAGCTGTACTAGGAATTGGGCAGGAATAAAGACTTTTCTGTTCAATTTTAAAAATCTACATAGTATTTTTCACAAGTAGTGCTATTTAGGTGCACCTGCATTTTTCTAACCTCTGGTGTTTTAACCTACCTGTCCTTGCACGTGGTTCTTAAGGAAGACTAAGATAGGCTAACATAGTTATGGACAGAGCAAAACCAACAGAGCACAGCTCCAGACAGGAGATACTGCGCTGATAGCACACAAGGGAAATTGCCAATTGGCAGGGAACTGATGTGTAGATTCTGCTTCCTGCATGAAAAACACCAGTGGAAGCAGGCAAACACACAGTGTGTCCATGGGGATGTGGAAAGTAACAAACCCTCACTGACTTGGGAAATTAGATCAACTAGAATTGATCAGGTGTAGCAAGGAGAGGAGTACTCAGCCCCCTCTATCAATGTTACAGGAATTTCATGTTCCTACATTTTCTTTGTCTGGCCATGGTATAGAAACCTTGCAATTTACTCTAGAGGAGGCACAGTGGAGTTAAACAATTATCCCAAATTTTATCAGCAAAAGTCCTCTTATTTTTTTTTTTGATAACTCTAAAGAACAGATTTTACTTTTGTGCACACCAGTTGCAGTACAGATTTGGCACTGTGCATAGGACTCTCTCGACAATGACTGTATAATGTTGAAAACAAAAGAATTTCTATCCAGAGAGGTTTTTGGCTTATTAAAGGAATGTTTCTCAAAGCTCTATCAACTGTCTCTAAACTGATAAAACTCAAAGTTACAGTGTGATAGGATTGCACCCTTCCTCAAACTTAAATATATGATATTGGAAATTTAAACCATTTGGCATCTGGTTAGTTACTGCATTTATAAAACAAAGCAAAAAACCAAGTCAACAGAAGAGAAAAATTCCTAGTTTCACTGCCTATGAAAAAAAACACAGAAATGATCATTTAAACATTAATGTGAATTCTCCCAAAATTAACACATATTAATTCATTTTCCAGAAAATTTATGATAATTTCATGTTGATTCTTTGCCTTCTGCTTTCAGAGTCACTGATGACTCAGTGCAGCTATCTGTATGCTGAGTATCAGCTGTTGAGCACGGTGTAAGATGTAATGTGGAGATTTTCACAGCAGGTTTTGTCAAAATGTGGAACTCCACAGCAAACAGCCATCTGCCAAGCAGCCTCATTAGTAAAGTCTGTGTGTCTCTGTATATGTGCACGTATATGATCCCACACAGACTACTATATCTGAGAAGAGCAAAAGTTTAACACTTGGAGGAAAAAATCTTCACTAAAAAGACAATTCTGTTATATTAGCCAAGTTGTAGCACCAGTCATTCAATATGAACTACTACTTAAGCAGAATAAAGCGTAGTTAATTCATTCCATCAGTTTAATGACCTTGATATTGTGGAGTTTACATTTTCCCTGCATCCTGAGAACACATATACAAGCTGAAACGCTTCACACTATCAGACACTAAGCTGCTTGCATAGAACTTGCAGGCCCTATACATTAAAAACCCCACTCTGCATGTTAGTAACAGTAATTAATTCCTAACTCACAGCCCCTCTCTCTTACTCTGCTCAGGCCTCATACTTTGTTCTTCCCTTCCTTGTCTTACTGCCTAACTCCAAGTCTGTCCTGAAGGGACTCTGCTTTCGTGTTTTACGTGCACCTTCCCAAGCAAGTGAAGTAAGATTAAGTCCAAGTCTTTTATATCCAGGTCTTAGAAAGAGTACTGGGGCATTAAATAACCTTCTTTTCTTTAAGCCAAATTGACTCTTTGTTTTATGCAGCTTCAAAATAGGACTCATCTTTTATGTTTGAAGATTAGTTTCTTGTCTTTTTTTTTTTTTCCCAATCTTGTCTCCCCTCACCTAGTTAAAATATATCAGTTATATATTTTTACTATTTAGAAACAGTACTTCATAAATTAGGTCTGGTCATGTGCTAACACTTACCTTCTCTGCAAAAAGGCACAGCAGCAGATTGGTAGAAATCCCAAAATCAAAAATCCTCCTCCAGTAAGCAAAACCACTCGAATGGCCAGCTGCACATCTGTAGAGGCAGCAGAAGTTTGCATTAGTTCTGAGCAATTCTGATAGAGACACTGAGCCTCAGGTGACAGAATCAACCTCTAAGACAGAGATCTTTGCTGCCATGAAGTCCTGGCCATGTTGCCACTTCGCTCAGACAGATATTTCATCAGCAAAGCTCTGACAGTACTCACACCTTAAGACACACTCACACTCAAAGACTTTAGTAAATGCAAAGGAAAACTGCCATCTCTCACATGAATTTAAAGTTGGACTCACTGATCACAAGGGTATTTTCTAATCTAAATGATTCTATGATTCAGCAGCACAATGGCAAAAAAAGTAAGTGTTAGGAATGAGCTCAGATGAGAAAGAATTGGTCTCAAATTTCACTTCAGTTTGAAAAGCAGTGTTTGTTTAGATCCAGAAACAGCCAGGGTTTGGGTGAGCCCAGGGCCTGGGACACAGCTGAGTGGGGGGAATAAATAATAGTTAAAAAAAACAATCAAAGTCCCTTAGAAGCTGTTCCAAGAATGGAGGCAAAATCTTTCCAATTAATTCTATTCATCTACTTCAGTTCATAACTTTTGTAGCATTTTCTTAAGGCCTCATTTAATTCCCAGTGAAATTCAAGACAAATCTCACAACAGGAAGAACCATTCAGTATTCAGCCTGTGACCAGCTGACAAACATAACTGCCATGAGTCTAATATCTGCTAAGTGCTTCTATTTTGTCAACAGATTGCTACAAGGCAAACAGTAAGTGTTTGCATTTTCTTTGGACATATGCTGTACATCCATGAGCATTCAAGGAGCTCATTAATCTATGAACAAATAATTCTGTAAAATAATCAGCCCTTGATACTGATGTCTAAACAATAAAAGCTAACTGGAATGAGGAATCAAGCAGTCACAGCTGAATAAGCATATTTAATTTTAAAATTTGCTTCAGTATGTATCTTAAAAATTAGCAGAGGAGCTATAATTTTCACTGTACAGCTTTTCTTCTTGCTGTAGTGAAGTGTTTTTTATACAAAATATAAAGGCCCAAGCTGGGACTGAATATTATTAAAACCTTTAATTTCTGTCATATGCCCCTAACTAACAGATTCTGATGCCATCACACTGGATAAAACTTTCTTCAATCAAAAATTATCTAGCGGGTAGTAACTACAGCTGCCCCAGCACTGAAATGTGGAGCTGCTCAAGCACAAGAAAATTTTCAAAGTCTTATTTTGACCTCAGACTGGTCCTGAAGAAGCACAAACAAGAGAAAGGGAATTCATGTCAGCTGTCAAGTAACCTTGGGGTTTCATATCTGTGTTAAGTCAGCTTATCCTAAAAATTGGGATATCACCTCTGAAATCAATGGATTTATACTGAATTATACCAGAAAGAACTAAATCATTAAGTTCTAGATTATAGTTTCTTTTTGCTAACTTATTATCCATGTTTGGCAAGATTGCTTGTATCTGAAAACTCTTCCTACACTGTTGGTTGTTTGTCCTTGGACAAATTAAAAATTTGACTGGACACAGGCCCTGGGAAACCCATTGTAGCTAATGCTGGTAGAACAGGGAGGATTAACTATATGGTTGTGAGAGGTCCCTTCCACGCACAATAATGCTGTCTATAATATAACACCTCTAAATTATTTTCTTTTTTCAGTTTGTTGAAGCAATCTCCATGAAAAGCAACAACTGTTTCTAGAAAGCTATACAAACAGGAAAAATTTATGATAAAAATTAAGGTTTGATACAATCCTTTCAGTAGAGCAAAGACAACCATGGAGTTATAAGCAAATATAGGATCTAGAAAATGGTTTTTGCATTCATATAAGAAAAAAAAAACCCACCAAGTTGATGATCAAAGGAAAAAAAGGAGGTAAAACGTAATGTTAAGGCTGAAATTTGATAACATAGAACTACTGACATTTTGGTTGAAAGAGACTTCTTCAGATCACATAGATGAATCTTCCTCTTGAACAAGGCTACTACCAGTATGAGATAAGTGAGTTGTGTCTTGTTATATCCAAGTCATGAAAACCTCCAATACTGGGGACTCAATCCCTCTTCTGATGAACTTTTTTCCCCCCTAATATTTGAGCTACATTTCTTAAGCATCAGTTAGTGGAAATTCTCACTTGTTAAATCATCTGATTCTTCCAGGAAGAATTAGTGACTCATTTTAGTAACTTCCCTTCTAAACAGGCTTCAGTAGCTATTAAACAACCAATCAGCCTCCTCTTCACCATGTAAATACAAATCCAGTTCCATTACTTTTTCTTCACTGCACTTTCATGGAGTCACTACTTTGGATTAACTCCCACTTTCTACAAACAAACCTTTACTTCATTCTTTGTAATGACATATGTGACTATTTATATGGCATTTGTTCTTTCCTTGCGCTGGGCTTGACAGTACCCAGAAAATTTTCTATTAATCAACTCTTTCCTTTATTAGTATAGATGAAGAAATCCATGCGCTTACAGTTACTTTAAAGAGAGGGGTGTCCTGGAAAGGCAAAGATACAAAGAGCAATGAGAGCGGTACTGTGTGACCAGAAGCAGGGTTTGCTCTGAGGCAGCAGCCCAGAGCCACACACTCACCATCTCTCACTGGCATGTAGCACTGCTCCTCCCGGCCAATTCTGAAAGGACAGCAGTGAATTTTTGAGCATTCAGACATGTTCAGGCCTTCTACAGGACAAGGAGTTAAGAGTCGCTGATTGCTGAGGCGGCAAGCTTCAAAAAGAAAAAAAAAACAACGTTGGGTAAAATGTCTATCCTGGGAGCAATGTGAAACAGAAGGAAGTCATCACTTTGGTGTCTCTAGCATGTTTTGATTAATTAAATCTGCCAGAAAACAATATCATTGACGTTCATGTATGTTCTTTCCCAAACCATAATCAATTTCTATATTGAAATTAGTAGAAAAGCTAAATCATGTTATAGAAAATCTTCTGTAATTTGCTTTGTTTCTGTAAGGATCTATTACAAAGCTGAAACTAAACACAATTGTGACACTTTTTGTACTTAGGTTTGTAAAGTAAGTGAAAAAGACAAACTAAATTTTCTGACTATTCTGTTTCTAATTTAAAACCAGCAGAAATTTAAGGCTTTTTTTTTTTTTTGAAGGACTATATTGCAACTAACCATCTCTGTTTGGCCCTTATTATTTGTTTCTACAAGCAGCTGAAAATCAGCTGCTAGGAAAAATCCCCCACAACATCCAATACAGTTAATGAACAGCACATTTAAGCAATTTTTGAGATTTCCTATTTAATAGCAGATTTATTGATAATCATGAGATACTCTGTGGGAATGGTTTAAATGTGTAAGATAGTTATAAATAGTATATGTCTCTGCATATTTGATTCCTATAAAACATCATCTCATCCCTTATGTTACACAGCAGCTGCAAAGCATCATTTGGTTCCAACAACTCCCCCAGGACTGGCTGTATAGTCAGCCTCATATTTATCAGAGACATTACTGGTAGCCAAATTCAGTTTATTAAGGGGGGGATCAGGATCTTCATCAGTCCTCTGTGCTTACTTAGGCCTACATGTGAGCAATAGTAGTGGAGGCACACTGGTATTAATGCAGAAACATACCTAGTGAAAAGTAGCATTTCTCCTTCTCTTTCCTATTGGTCTGTGGTCTGGTTATGAAATCAGGCTGGCTGTTTTTATATAGAACAAATCCTTTTTGTACTCATATTATTTTGCTTCTTGATATTAGCAAGTTAGCATTGTGATTTTCATCTCAATAATTTTATGAAATAATGTAGTTCTTGTAATTTTACTTCAGCAGTCCGATGGTGAGTGCATCACTCTAATCTAACAGGCCTGAAGCCTTCCTTAGCCAGTAGGAGAGACACCAGGGTGGGAAAAAATCCTTCTCTCATTTAGGCTGTGCCAAATTCTCTTTTGTCTCTATGTGTATGTGGGAAGACTGGAAAACTAGTCCAGATGAGATAAAACAAAGCTAGGCATGGTGGGTCCTCTGCCAAACTTTCAGCATAATTTCAGCATTTCCAGCACAGTGACATCACTGGTGATGGAGGGTTTTGCAGGAGGGTAGCAATGCAAACAAATCTGTGATTGTCCCAAAGAGGCACTTAGCAATCCTATTTTGAAGAGCTCTAGTGAGTTTTACAGTATTAGACTGAGGGTTTTAAGCACATGAAATGCTGACAGGTAGGGGAGGGAGGGTGGACTGGAAGTGAGGCAGAAGTGGGAAGGAAGAGAGAAACGATGCTGCAGTGGTGAAGTGACACTTACTCATTGGTCTGAAGAAGCTTAAGAAAGATACGAATACACCTTCCATTGTCATGTTAGGTTTGCTGGCTGCCTCTGCACTCTGTTCTGAACCAGGCTCAGTCGGTGCTGCAAGAACTGAAAGTTCACAATGATTAGCTCATTACCATCAAAACTATCCGTAATTAATTAAAGCAATGACATTTTCATACTGATTATCACTCATTAGGAAGGCATTTACAGTCATCAGGAACTGTGTCGACTGATGGCTAGCAGGGTTAAGCACAGATGTCTTTCTGTTGTATTCACTTATATTGCTTTAAATTGCTTCATGAACCACAATGAGTAAAGAACTAAAGCTGTAAAATTTAAATTAAAGAATGCATTCAGGTGGAAACTGTCAAGGATAAAAAGCCCTGCTGCTCACCTAAGAGGTGCAGGTTACATGAAAATGCTTTGCTGCATGTATAATTGTATTTCTCCTATGCACACAAGCAGAACTTCCAGCTTTTTACATAAAGATCAGACCCCAGTTAAAACACAGGACCATTGTGAAAGGCACCTTTATCAGACACAACCAAACATGCATCTATCCCTGCTTCTTATTTCAGACAGTGACCTGCTGCAGTTGCATAGCAAAGAGCAAAACATCTCTAAATATAGAGGTACTGTTACACAAAAGCTACTGATTTCTTACTCTGGGACTTCCCAATCACCTTTCATTTTCACTATTCTAAAAAAAATATAGGATCAGTAGACCTTGCTGCCTCCCTACATCTCTTTTTCATTACACTATAAGTGCAAATCACAGTAGGACTCCACTGGCAATCAACCACTCCCCAACGAGGGGGAAAAAAGAGACCCAGTATTCCCACTTGCTTGCCTTTTTCCTCTCCATGAGAGAAACTTACTCCATCACCACTTTAATAGCTTTCAGTGACAGTTTGCTGAAACCCATTTCATGGTGTTAGAGTCCTTGTGATAGAAGTTAGATCACAGCCTAACCAAAAACTAAGGTATTGAACAACTTCAGTCTTTTGGATAATTCTTCAGCTAACAGTATTGGAAGGATAAAGTAGGAAATTAGGAAATGACTCGTCCTGGGGCACAACTTGCCTCTTCTGTGCCATACAAAACTACCTTGGGAAACAAAAAAGAATGGAGTAAAGAGAATTGAAGGTACTGTCAAAACAGATAATCTGAAATTATCATGCAATAGAAATGTGATCAACAAAGCTCACACTGACAGTTATGTCTTGGGGTCCCTCTCTCTGCCAGTAAACAAGACAGAACAGAAAATTTTAAAGACTTTGTAATGACTTTGTGGGAAGTTCATGAGATGAGGTTTCCAGCATTCAGTTTGGTAAGAATTATCTGAAAACTGTGGCTGCCCTATACATTACTCTCCCATGTGAGGGTTGAAAGAGACATGAGCCATTTACATAAATTTAATGGCCATTGCTGAACTTACACATTTATATCTATGTGAGCTCACATGCACTCTGGAAGCTTTTTAAAATGACACAGCAACTACCAGCCTCTCACCAAGAGCTGAAAAGGCTCCGAGGTCTGGTTTAATGATTTATGCATTAAGGATCAAATGCAATGATATTCAGATGGATCCTTTAGACATGTCAGATGACCAAACTTCTGTTAGTGCAAATAATCAGACAAAAACCTTTCTAATTACTTTGAGTCATCTGCTGTAATAAGCAAATACCTCAATTCTCCACACACCTTTAATAGTATGCTGAAAAAAAAGACTAAGTGGGGGAAAAATAGAAGAATCTATAACTGGGGGAAAAAAAGAAAAATTTATGATCAACTGTGAAATAAAAGCAAGTTCCACTGGCAGGGATGAAACCAGCAGCATGTATTTCTTGTACAGATGCAGAAGGAAATAGGAACTATTAGTGCAGGAAAAAAATATATGTTGCTCTATTTAAGTCTCAGAATGGATCAATCCAATCTGAAACAATTGCTTGTAATATTTCTCAGTATTTCCCAAGATTGCTTGCTAGTAAAAGTACTTGCTGCTTCTTTAAGAATGTTTTTGTCCTTGCAATACTCACGTGAGTGGACACCACCAAGCAGGAGCAGGACCATGGAGACCCACGCTCGATGGGTGCCGAAGGGCAGCATCACTGCAATGAGACCAAGAGCAGTAATAGGTAAAGGGCCCTGCATAAAACAAGTTATTGATCTTAACTTCGTATTTATGGGTTAGAGCAAACCTGACAGTTGATTGCTGCACAGAACAGGACTGCCTTTTTTGCAAGAAAGAGGCCAAAACCCATTGAAAATATATGTGTATATATTGTCAATAAATTTTTTTAAGAAACTACTCATTTAAAGGGAGTTCAAAGTAAGTAATCTTGTTAAGACACTAGCCAAAAAATTATCTTTCTTAAGTGTTCCAAAGCTGGACACCTGGCACTTAAAAAAGATATTTTTTATCTGAAAATTTTACTCTGAGTTCAATGAACAGAATCAAGAATGAAGAATGAATACTTTTTGAAAGCTTAAAACTGAATTCAAATTTAGCTCATTGAATTCTTCACTCTTTTTACAATTGGAGCACGTGAAGAGCTTTGGATAGCATTTTTAAAAGGTGGTTCAAAATGGTATTAGGGACAAAAATACTTTTAGAAATCCCCATGTGATTCATAGTAATTTAACAGCAGGTTTAAGCTGGGTTTTGTACCTGCAAGCAGCCCCTGATGACTGCTTTGTCAGATGCTGTATTTCACTTTGCCTGCCCCTCCTGTTTTACCCTAAAAAGGGCTTTTTCCAATTATTACCACTTAGTTCTAAAGACAGCTTAAACCTACAGACAATTTGTTAGTAGTGGGGAGGGGAGAACCCCATTTTCTAAAGTGCTGTGCAGGGAAAAGGCTGGCTGAATTTCACTGGATATTGCCCTTTGAAGGGTCAGCTCTTTCTGCACTCCTGCTCAGTGAGGAAAGCTTCCCTGCCCTTGGAAGTGCCTCTGCTATAGAGGAATATACAAACATGTTCTACCCCATGGAGAAACTACTTTGGTAATGTGAAATTATTTCCTAAGAGGACAGGAATCATGTTTTCCAAGAAACTTATTAAAATTTAATGCTATTCATGACAAATTGGGAAAACAAGGGAGAAGGAAAACAAGATGAAAATTATTTTTCTTGCCATTACTTACTTTTTTTGCTGTTTCCTCCAGCCCTGCTTGAGCAGGGCATGAGCAGCTCCCCAGGGTGCAGCAACCACAGACTGGCCCTGACAACCATGGAACCAAAGAACATCACAGTCACCACCCCCAGTTCAGGTGCATGGAACAGGATGGAGAAACAGAGGGGCCAGAAAAAGCTCAGTGTGCTTTGGGAGAAATTTGTCCCTGCTGAAACTGTTGGAAAGCCTCTCAAGTTTCCTAATTCACCAAGTTAAAAACAAGTTCATACCCTTACTAGTCACACTCCAGTGTACACTACAGGAAGATCACCTAACTGAGCAGCCCAGGTAAGAAATCAAAACACAATCCTCTCAAGTCAAACACTTCAGTCAGAATGCTTAAATTAGAGCTTCTCACTAACCCCTGAAAGGTGAATTAATTAGGTATTGGTTCACCAAACATTTGCACACTCGAAGCACAAATCTGACATGCATCTTCCTTCGACTTGGAAAGCAAATATCCTGGGCTGCATCAAAGAGAATATGGTCAGCAGGTCAAGGGAAATGATTCTGCCCCTCTACTCCACTCTCTTGAGACCCCACCTGGGGTACTGCAACTAGCCCTAGAGATCTGGCCTGATTTCAGGTGGGATAGAATTAAATTTTCTCCTTTGTAGCTGGCACAGTGCTGTGTCTTGGATGTAGGATGAGACTAATGCTTGTAACACACTGATGTAACGGATGTAGTTATTGCTAAGCAGTTCTTGCTCTCAATCAAGCACTTTTGAGCTCCCCTGCTCTGGCAGGGAGCAGGCACACCAGAAACCAGGAGGGAGCAGGGCCAGGACAGCCCACCTGGGTTGGCCAAAGGGATATTCCACACCATGGCACACCACACTCAGTATATAAATGCAGGAGCTGGCAGAGAGATGCCAAACACTGCCCAGGGATGGGCTGGGCATTGGTCAGTTTATTGAGCAATTGTATTGTGCAGCTCTTGGTCCTCTTGGATTTCATCTCTCTTACTCCTTTTCATCACAGTTATTGTAATCATATTCTATTATCTTTCAATTATTAAACTATTCTTGTATCAACCCATGATTTTTACTCTTTTGTTTCCTCTGCTTCCCATCCCCACTGGGAGGATGGAGGGGGAAGAGAGCACTGAGCGAGTGAGCAGCTACCTGGTGTTGCTAGCTGGAGTTAAACCAAAAGTTCCCCCCACATGAAGGACATGGACCTTTTCAAGCTTGTCCAGAGGGTCATGAAGGTGACCAGAGGGCTGGAACAGCTCTGCTCTAAAAACAAGCTGAGACCTGGGGTGCTTCAGCCTGGAAAAGGCTCTGGGGACACATCAGGGCCCCTCCCAGTACCTAAAAGGGCTACATGAGAAAGATGGGGAAGACTTTCATAGCAGGGCCTGTGCAATAGGACAAAGAGCAAGAGTTTTAAATAAAAAGAGGTTCAAATTAGACTAGATATAAAGTTGAAGTTTTTTACAATGAGGGTGGAGAGGCCCTGGCACAGGTTGCCCAGAGAAGCTGTAGATGCCCTGTGTCTGGAGATATTCTAGGCCAGGCTGGAGCAAGCTCTGGGCAACTTGGTCTATGGGATGGTGTTCCTGCCCAAGGCAGATGGAACTAGGTGATCTTTAGGGTCCCTTCCAAACCACACCATTCTAGGATTCTACCACTTCCATTCCTTTTATTAAGGAAAGGCTCTGAATAGAATGGGAGCAGTGTTTTTAAAATATACAGAAACCAAAAGTAAATGTAGATGCCATCAAATCAGCATTTCCCTTAACAGATGAGCTGCCTAAAGCAGTTGCAGTTTGCTACAAAAGCCATCTGAACTGATAAGTGAGCTTGAAAAAACTTACATATTCACATGGGTTTTCCTCCTCATTTCAGCTAATTGCAAAACAAGTTTAAAGGGTGGATCTCTTTAACTTCATTTGTATGCAGCACTAGCTTGCTAAAATAAGTAACAATACAAACTATCTTCAGATTCACTGTTTCACTCTACACCCAGACTAGACTCAGCCACTCCAGCATCGCCAATGAGATACTTGGCAATGTCCAATCCCCAAGCCTTCCTTTTCTGAAGCATATGATTTACATGAAAGCGAGATTTTCTGTGCTGATTTACCTCATGGAACACTCCAGACAATGTGATGCACTTCTGACATGGGACTTTTCAGACTGGTAAGAATCACAGAAAATTGCCCCCCCATTTTAAACAGAACACTTAATTGATTTTACTACATTTAGGAGCGTTGATTTCCCTTGCTGTAGCTGTAGTCTACACCTGAGGCTCAGCCTGAGTGCATCAGGCAAAAAAGCACATCCAAACCCAAAACCATGCCTAATGTTTGTTCTAACATTTCTACAACAATCAAGTTCTTAGCATTTACAGACTACATCCATGTGATCATTTTTTGCTTTAAATTAACTGCTTTTATTGGAAACCAGTTTCCTAAATGCAGTGCAAAACCGTAAGTGAACATTTTCTCCTACTGAATTTTCAGTAGATACACAAAAGTACTTATGATTGTTGCTCTTTCTTATAATCCAATTCCATACAGTACTCAAAGCACACAAAAAATACTGCTTTAAAGTCTACTGTAAAGTAATTTTTACACAATGCAAAAAAAAAAAAATTATGGCAAAATGACTCATCTGGGTTTAACAGCAATTATTTCTATCAAACTGTTCGAGATGAATGACCTTCGTTAACTGTGAAAGCACAAGTGACAGATGTGTGATGCATTTTAAAAAATTGTTTGTAGAAAACCAGATTCATCCCCTGACACAGGCAAAAGATCCAGTCTCTATCAAAGAATCACAGTGCCAGAGTAAAGAGCTGTTTCTGTAAATCACAGAATAAAAATACAATGTGAAATCAACGTTGTGCTTAAGTCTAATGAACCTCTGGCAAGGAGAACCTTGTGATCAAAGTTGAATCTACTTGGAACACTAAGCTCACTTTTCCTAACATATATTAAGCTGCCTTAATACCTTAACAGTGAAAACATCCCTAGTCACCCCAGTTTTCATGGGTGTGAATGTCTGGAAACAACTCTGACTAGCATCACTTTGGATGAAAATCTGCTAAATTCAAATGAATGACGAACAAGCTTAGTACACACTACTGCAGAAAGAACAAGCTCAGCCTTGTCACTTCTGAAAACATTGTTTGAAGGAACCACCAGAACCAGCAACACATCTCCCCCACCCCTTAACACAGGTATTCCACTTCAGGTCTTGCTGCTTCTGGAAACAGACAAAACCTTTACACAGGATAGAAATATTTAACATCTTCTCTTGCAGATTAGCAGAGAATTTAGCAGAACTGCACAGCAGGTCTCCTGCTGTGGGGAATACTCAGTGGAACGTAAAGTTTCCCCTTTTAATATTCAATATTGAAGGGTTTTTGCAGGGAAACATACTGCAGTCAGGAAAATAAGCTGCGCACTCAATGTCCTTCCTGGACATGGTACACAATATTTGACACTGGGGACAAAGAAGGGCTGAAAAAGCTCAGCACTAACTGATTAAAATAACTTTTGCATTTACAAAACTAAACCTAGTATCTTCCTGAACTCATGAGTGCTCATAAAGAGATTTTTATCTGTTTAAAAAAAGCTGAATAAAGAGATTTTTTTTCCTTGATGAAGTTTTAATAACAACTCTGAAAATCTTAACTCCCCACCCATCATTAACAAAAATTAATTCAGTAAACAACAGAAACAAAAACTTTTCTATTTTTTAAAGCATTTGTTAATTCATATGCTTTGAGCTTAACCTTACTGAATTTAGATTTTGGCATGATTCACAAATACCTCTTACTCTTTCAAAGAACTTTATTTTAAAAATAATTTTAATTCATTAGACCGTACTTTATAATAGTTACCAATAGGACGGACCTGAACTCAAGCATCAGACATTTGTTGCACTTTCAAGTTTTGTAACAACATGACTTTTCAAAATAAAAGTGTACATTTAGATTCACAGGTTAATTTGTTGTAATTTAATAACATTTGAAATCACTGGAATATGAACTGAAAGGGATATATGTTAAGTACACAAATACTGAAAAAGTTTATAACCCCAAAACCCACGTGGAAATGGAATGCAGCCAATTAGTCAGACTGTGGTTTAGGAATTTCACATTTACCTGGGTTAGCACCTTAGTGAACTCAACCATTGAATATGAGAAACGAATGCATGAAGAGCAACCACTCAACAGGTACCATTCCATGAGGAGACTCTGTCTTCTTGAGCATTTTGTGCTGTATTTTTGAAATATGGTAATATTTGAGACTTTTCTAAAATGTGTAAATAACCAATGGCTACAGTTAAAGTCTAAACAAAGAAATACTTTCTACTGTCAGCTGAAATTTTTTAAAGCAATCATTCATAAGGATTGCATCAACATCAGTTAGCAGAGGAAGATCAAACTTTATTGAAACTGCTTGCATACAAAATATATTGCACTATAACCAAACAAATGTCAACATAAAATCCAATCTGTTGTAGCTAATATGTACAGAGAATATTGCCCAAGAGCAGTTACATTACAAGGTCAGTCTACCTTGGTTAATTATCTACAGTATTTTAAACCAAACAGCTTACAGATGATGTGTGCAAGGTACCAATTTCTGTTTTCAAATACTATACATTCCCAAAATAAATAACTAGAAATCAACATTAATGTTTGGCAATACTTTTTAAGACATTTTATATTTGTTAAATCATGTGCAGTTCATTGCCAGTTTTAGTATGCTCACCTGTATGCAAGGAAAAAAAAGAATGAAGAAAGCAAAGAAACAAAACTCACAAAATACATCAGAGGCAAGGTCAAGTTTGTACAATTCTGTACATAAACAGTGGCTCTCCTTCTGGAGTAATCTGAACAAAAATGGACTAAAATGAAGGTCCTTATGCAGTTGTGCCCAGTAAGTTTAACGTGTGATCAGAAATGAAAGAAAGCACAGCTCCTCCCACCACTTCCCACCCTTCCCTGGTGTACAGCTGTACTTTGGATCAAATTCTGTGACACCTTCATATTGGCTGGTAATTAGGACCCTGCAGCTCAAAATATGAAGAACTTTTATTTTACCTTCAATATTTTGGCTACTGTATCTGTAGTTGCCAGGGCATGACATGTGGCGACTTTCTTCTTATCTCTCCTGAAATAGCCCCCAAATTAAAATAAGCAATTCAAAAATTTTGGGAGGATGAAAGCCATCAATGCTTTAGGCTGGTCATCTGGCCAAACAGCAGGCACCCATTACTAGCTTGTGAACATGTTACACTTGTTCCCTCAGTAACAATGAGTTTATTAGTTTTCCACAATGGAAAGATTTTTTTTTTTTAGTTTTTCTTTTTTAAAAAAAAAGCTTCTGTACTGCCTACAAAGAAAAAAATTACACCCCTTTTTCAATAACACTATTTGCCAAATCTTCAGTGCAAAATAAATTTCCTATTCTTATAACTGCCTAACTGAATGTTTATGTAAGGAAAAAATTATGGAAAGCATGCACTTGTCTATAAAGTACTAACGTCTGACAAGGATTGCTACATATATTTTACATTTAGTGTTACCAACTCATCTTCCCTGATTTCTGCATCCAAATATAATATTCCTACCTGCCAAGATATAAAAAAGGCACAGATCATACAACTTTTTTGCTAATGAAAATGACAATTGTTACATCACACAGATTTCAGGGTCCACCAAAATATTGAAAAATGTGGACCAGAATGTGAACTGACACAGGACATAAAACGACATAGCATTTCATGAAGAACTGGTAAGTTAGATTGAAAACAGAAGCCAATTTGATTACTGCAAACACTATTTATTCTGAAAATTGAAATTGAGCAGTGAATTTGACCCGATGTGTTAAAATGGTACAACTGAACAGAAAGTTTACCAATGCACAGCTCAGTATTTTTAAAACAAACAAAAAAGAATCTTTCATTGTTTGAACTGCAATATGTACTTGGAAGCAATTTTCAGAAGTTCAGGTATTTTTATGCAAATATTTGAATAACTTCTTATTCTGAAAACAACTGCATACTGTTGATGTTAAAAAAGGCTAACAGAGAACATATGTTCATTTCATGCCCTGCGCCATCTTGCCTACTATTTTGTCTTTGGCCTAACAAGTTTCTCTAACATGGAATAGGAATTACTGAAACAGTATAGGAAGTATGACTTCAGAGTTATGCAGTTTAGGGGACTCCGTTCACCAGCGGCTGTTGAGCGTCGGCGCCGTCCGTCTTCTCCTTCTTGGGGTTCCGCTCCTTGCCCGCGCGCAGCCGGCTGCCTTCGCTCGAGGTATTCTGTAATGTTTTAGTGTGGACACGCCTTTCATTATTGCAGTCAATTCTGATCTGGAACAATTCAGAGTTATATAAAGCATCCTCCTCCCTTCCTCCACCCCTGGGTGTTCTCTACCTTGGCGGTCTGGGAGCAGCAAACAGTGCCAGCCCCTTATGGCTTTGTTAAATGTATCCAGCTGCAGGGGAGGCTGTAAACCCTTTTCTGTTCAAAAATGCCACATACCTGTGAGCCAAAAAATCCTCTGCCATCTACCTAGCCTTTGCATCTAAGAGAAAAATTTCCAGTTTGTTTTGCACAAAAGAGTTGAATTAATATCAGATGGATCTCTGAAACATTATTTCAACTTCTAGTAATTTGACTTCCTATTCTTTGTATGAAAAAAGCCCCCAAAAGACATAGTGTCATTTCATGGCAGCTTTTCTGAATCTCAAAAAAAATCTACTCAGACCTTTTTTTGAATCTGAAAAAAAAGATCCATTTAATACACCTAAGAAACTTCTGTAGCCTTTTTAAGTGGTCATAGAAAATTTCAAGAGAGCATGCTGAAAGCAAAGTTTTATGCTTGCAAAGGGGGCAAATGCTTATTCCTCTATACGTAACACGATTTTTGCATGTTGCTCAGCCAGATTTGAACAACATGCAATACTTATTTTCTTGCAAAATGTCACTGCTTCTAAATCTTGGAGCAACAGATAAAACCCCCCATCATTTAAGAGCCTAATCTTTTTTTTAGCACTGCATTTTCACACCGCCTACTTCAAACTTTGTAAGGTAATTACTAATTAATTATAAATTAATTATTTATAATAATTATTTCTTGTTTGTTTTGCCAAGTTATTTATTTGCATTTCAGATGCCTATTTGACCTATTAAATTACTTCACCTTGAAGTTCAGCCCTCCCATTTCAAAAACTAAGCACTGGTCACTCGTTACGTTTTGTCCCTTTCTTAACCAGGCTTTCTAAGAAACAAGCTAAGAATCATTTCTATGTCCCACTGGAATCCTGACTCCTGGTACCACCACACAGAGGCAGCAGCTTGCAGCTGCTCTGTGTTTCTTCCTCCCACCTTAACTCATCCTATGCAGTAAAAGATGGTAGAAGGTTTGCAAGGACAGTTTACATGTGGGGAAACTTAACATATATCAGCTTGATAAGTTCATGAAACAAAACATGTGGAAAAAAAGGAGAAATATATTTATAAAAAGCTTAAAAATATTTAAGGTAACCAGATATTTCAAATCTGTTACTTGAAAAGTTTCTTGATGCGAATTAACTTACTTTCTAGACTGAATAACCTTCAATTGCAAATGTTTCATTTAGTAGTGAAGGTAGTTTCTGAAGTTTAATCTTTCTTACTCTGAGGATTCTGGCTACAATACACTCTCTTTATATAGTGTTAAGGATTTTCTTCCCTCAGGTACAAGAACACACAACACAGCAAGAAATAAAAGCTAAAACCAAAGCACTAGTAAGAACAGAGACTGAAATCAAGCCGGTTAGTAAATCCTTGGGATTTGTCATCAGTTTTTCACCAGACAGAGCTAAACAGCATTACAAAATTGCATCTTTACACAGCTTGATCTATTTAAAGTCCTGGGAAGTGTAGCTTAGCATGTTGTTGTTTTGCAGCACAACTTTTGTAGATGTGATTAGGGAGTCAAAGAATATGGAATCACAAGGCTACTGTATTACTCACAACCTTGAAGACTCTACTGTTACTATATGACACAATTCAATTTTAACAGTACAGACTTCCCACATGAGAAGTTACCTCAAGAGACCCGTCTGCTGTCCTCCCTTTCGCCTCTCTTGAGTTACGCTGACGGTTATCTGTTCGTGACTGTTCATCATTGCCTAGAAGAAGAATTAATCCACTAAGTTTCTCAACAAAGACATGACCTTCTGCCACTTAAATTTTATACAAGTACAGTATGCAACTCAGGATTTTCTGTCTCCTGAACAAATATTATTACTAACATATAACAATAGATCTTAAACTATGGGCCTGTGATCACTTAAAATGTTCTCAGGTGATAATGCAGACAAAACCTCAGTGTTTAAAACCACCACAGTTTAAAAAAGACTGACTACTGACTGAAAAAAAAACCACTTCTCAAAATGATTAACCACAGAAGAGAGGTACACCATAGCAGTATTTAATACCTGAACATTTTTCAACAGCTTGTAAGCTTCCCAAATTATACATTGCCTTCTTACAAAAAAGACTTATTAAGCAGCACTCATACTTTGAAAAAAACATTTCAAGAAATAAGCAGAGCTGCACAGTAAACTATTGTAACAAATAACTATAATGGAACATCATATATTCTTGTATATATATTTAACTTTAAAGTTCTCCCATCTTACTTTTGCCTGGTCCTGTCCACTGAACACATAAATTACAATGTCATTCTGTTCATGAAAATCAAATACAAGACAATGTGAATATGGACAGTATGGAATGAGTAATATAGATTTAAAAAAATTCTCTATCTACTGACAAACTAGAATTTGATTCCTTGATGTCCATGTGTGACTGCACAAGCCACAAACTTGAGCCAAAAGGCATTTTAGGAAAACAAACGATAGTGAAAACTCCCCCAAAAATAAAGCATTCAAAAAGAATTATACTCCTCTGCTCGATGTTCAACACAACTGAAATAAAACACTCCATGACAAAGAGAAGTCAGGAGAGGCCACCAGGTGGGGAATTGGAGCAGAAGAGAAGGAGCAGCTGGCAGAATGTGTTTGCTTTAGGATTCCCACAGTGACAGCCGTGTCCAAAAGGAGCCCCGGTTTACCTTTGAATCCTCCGCGCCCCCTCCCGCCTTGGCCTCTGCCGCCGCCGCCGCGCCGCCGCCCGTCCCCCCTGCGCAGGTAATTGTCCCGCTCCTCCTCCGCCGGGGCCGCCGACCAATCGCTCAGCTCGTCTCTGTGATCAGACTCTGTTTCAGAAGCATTTGATGCTTCAGAATTAGTTCCTATCAAGAGGATGAAAAAAATCCAAACACGCCAGTGTAGCTTAGCATGAAATTACTATAGTAGAATGCAAAATGTATATATTTAAATTTTTTTTCTCTTTTTGTTAATACACAGTTTTGGGATGTTTTTGCCTCCCAACCTCTTTAACATACATAACACCGAAAGGTACATAATATATATTCTTCAAAATTCAAGACAGACTAATAAAAATTAGTTGTGTGTTTAAGGCTAAATAATTAAGTGTGCCACATGCTTAAAACTGGTGTTATCAACAGATTACTGAACATACTACAAAATGTAGTATGTACTACAAAATGTAATAACCGTCTAATAAAACGTGGGTGTAATAGACTAGACTCCTTCGTATTTCTACAGCTGAAAGTTGTGAATATAAGCTGTCCTGTCTCCTCTCACCACTGCAACTCATCTATGAAAAGAAAAAAATTCCATCATGGAACAGCCTGTAACAGACTACAAAAGGAGAGAACAAAGTCAAAATGCTAGAAATGTATCAAATCAAATAAATGGCCATTGCAATTTTTCCAATTAACAGACCACCTTTATTGACAAAAGATAGATCTTTCCCCATTTTTATCCCCCCATAACCCATATTTATAAGCAAGGTGAGTTCACATCTTTTAAAAATAGTAAACATCACAAAAACATTATTTTATATTATGCAGAATGTAAGCTAAGATTTTCTTACAAAGCTCAAACTACAGGCCTTTCCGTCAGAACACACACCAGCTGACCTGCATTATGGATAATGAAATAATAGATTGCTCTGAAGAAGCACAGTCTGGAAAACTATTCATTAATGAATTATCCAAGGTTTCAAAGAGTACACACTATTTTGGTGACTATGGTCTTCTAGTAAAAACATAGAAGTTCAATTTAATATGAAGAAAACAGCTTTCCTGTAAATTGAGCTACACAGTATTTTCACCTATTAATATTTATATTAGGATAGACTCACACAGGCTTAAAAGAAACCTGAGACTTCATTGTCAGAAATTGTTCAAAATATAGATAAAATAACAATCCTTGCCTTAAGGAGTTAGGGAATAGCTAGATATGCTCCATAATGTAGAAGCCAAGCACGCTGTAAGAAGCAGGAACTGCATGGAAATCAGTGTAGATTACAGGAAAGCACTGTGCTTCGAAATACCTTCTTACAGCATAAAGTTCTATATAATCTTCCAATATTAACACTAAATATTAACTGCATTTTAAACAGCTCTAAGTCTAGTCTTTCCCAAGAAGTCCTAAGGCCAGCAGGCCTCCCTGGGAAGGGCAGGTGTCCCTGGAGGTACCTACCCGAAGCATAGCCCGGCCCACGCCGGCTGTGCCCGCGGTTTCTGTAGGGGCGGCTGCCGCGGCCAAGGCCCGGCCCGTCGTCCGTCATGTACCCTTTGTCCTTGTCCGTGCGGTTCGGGGGGGGCCTGGAAGTAGCTCCGATCTGCCGCAGTTGCTCATCAATTTGCAATCTTTCCAAACGCAGCTGGTCCACTTCCTGTGCAAACACAAGCCCAGCAAGTCATGTACTACCACTATTTAACCATCTGCATGTGTACACATGTGGGTCTCGGAAAGAAAAGCCACTGAAATATTACAAATGATCATCTGTTTGATACTCAAACAGCAACTCAGCTTTGCGAATAACTTGTCTAACAGAAAGACTTTCAAATGTTCAAATCTGTGTGCTACCAACACAATTCTTCCTGTGGCAGCTGACAAGTTTAGGTTTGTATCAAGAAAAAGCACTCAGATCGAACACAAGCTCTTTACACTGCTGCACATAGCAAACATAAAAGTTATTAAACAATTCTGATGTAACAGTATTGTTCCATAAAAAGGCACTCTGCTGCTAAACCCTACACAATAACAATGAACAGTATGAGGAATGGGAGGAAGCATAAAAGCATAGAGCGAAAAGTGCTGTAACTCAGGCACAGAGGCATCAGCACACAGCACCCTCACTGTACACACTTAGGTAAAAGAGATACAACAACACATATTCATGAAATACCTCTGCCAGTTTCAGATATTATCTAGCTCACATCAGAGTGGCAATCCTCTTTTGTATTCCTTTAACTAGGGAGAAACTTATTGACAGAAGTTTCATTCTGATACGGCACCCTCTGCAGGTCACCTAGTCCAGGTAGGACTTTGCTAAGATGCTTTGGTACTCAGGAATGCACACCATCAGTGACTTGTGGATATCTCTTCTCTCCCCCTTAAGATGTTCCCTAACTCAACCTTCCTTTAGGAAGACTAAGACTTCTTGCTCCAGACTCTCCCACTGCTCCTTAGTACAAATCTTATAAATAAATAAATAAATAAAAACCCCAAAAAACTGAGGATGACATTCAGTACCTCATTCTTCCTATTTGTGAGCAAGTTCCCTCTTCCATCCAACAGCAGGCCTGTATTTTCTTTGGTATTCCTTTTGCTGCCAATATACTCGCAGAAGGTCTTCCTGTTCCCCTTCACATCCCTTGCCCTATTGAACTCTTGATGGACTTCAGCTTTCCATACTCATCCCTGTCCACACTGTGTTTTTATACTCCATCTGATTCACCTATTCTTACTTTACTCCTTGTATTCTTGCTTTTTCTATATTAATTTAGCCACAGGCTCCTTGTTGATCCCTGCAGACCTGATACTTTTGTGTGAACACCTGCATATGAAGATGGACTATTCGTGATCTCGCAGAAGGTGATACTTTAAGAGCCAGCTCTTCCAAACCCGTTTTCCTTCCAGGAATGCATCCTATGGGATTCTTCCCAGCAGATCCCTGAACTGGCCAAAGTCCACGTTCCTGCAGTCTGGGGCTGTGAATCCTGGTATAAGTCTTTAATCTCAAGATCCTGAAAATTCACTACAGTCATTCCAGCCAAGTCTGCTTTTTTCTTTTTACAGAGAAAGAAATTCATGACTCTGAGCTAATACAGTATGTTTGATGTTGATGCACTACTATCCATCTTTTACAAAAAGTTTCCTTAATAATCTTTGCATGGAGGCATGAAAACATGAAAATCTTAGAGGAACAGGTCTGTCCCCTTCTTGTCAGTGAACTGGAGGAAATTATTCTGAATCATAAGGCAACAGGCCACTAAGATAACAACATTTTCTGTTTTTATGTTTAACAGGATGGGAAGGCCAGGATAAAACCTTAGAGATAAGAATCTATCCAGCAGTTATTACAGACTGATGAACACTTATTCGTGACCTTTGGTTCAGGAAGGTTTAAGAGCACTAAGACAAAGTGACCATAGTTGACGATGAACTGATCAATCTAAAATAAAATTGCTGGGCCACTAAACACTTTCCACTACCATGTCAGTATCCATTCACATACTGACTCATGTGCAAGAATGCATTTTAGGCAGCCAAAGAAGTTTAAACCAGAACTATCTTTTCAAATCATAGTGAGCATACAAGAAATGAACTGGATTTTGAGTATTAGTTTTCATCTGGTTCTTCTCTGCCTCTGCTTTGTGACAGCTGCAGGGCAGCTGTGCCTCTGCTCCAGACCACTGACAAAAGCAGGGTTAAAAGGTAAAGCAACTGGGTTGGTAAGAAAACAAAAGTTGTTTCTTCTCCTGACTTCTTTGACTACCTGTACTGAAAAGTATAACAATGTACAGAAATTTTAGCACTCCAAAAGATTCACTCATAGCTACTGCACTGACTGGACATGTATCAAATCCTGAATGGTCTGAAGGCTTCAAAAACGACCCCAGACTTTATTTAATTAAATGAACTCAAAGCTGTTCCTACTGTTAGATCTGGCCCTGCCACTGAAGATTGGGCAGTTGGCCACAACCACCACAGGCGAAAACCCTAACCCTAACTATAAGAAACAATGTGGGATATTTTTTGCTCCCTATACAACAGACCACTCATCACAGACTACTGCGAAAGTTACGGAGCCAAGAGGCAAACAAAACATATAAAGCTGAGTTGCCTACAAAGCATACTCAGGTATGAAATGTCAATTCATTACAGAAAAAGCAGTTTAGCATTTTTGCACTAAAAGAAATGCCCACTCTATACAAGATTCTACATGGAAGGCTGTTTGCTCTGCAGTTGCATGAAGGACTGACTACTCTCTCATATATAAAGCTGGCAGCACATTTTGAGAGATTTTTTTATTTTCTTACTCTTCTATAATTTGCATCCCGAAAAAAGTTGTCATCCCATTCTTCAGACAAATTACTCTTTTAAAAACATTTCATTTTTAGACAGAAAACCTGTTATAATACTAATTGCTCAAGAGCCTCTGGACCTGAACAGTTTATCATCATCACACTGTTACCATCCTAAGTATGGATACAAAAAAAAAAAATCAGTGGTAAAGCAGCATCATTATCCTCACCTTTAAATAATTAAGATGATAATCCAGAAGAACAGTTGCATTAGTGATGCTATCCTTGGTTCCTACAAACACAAATGGTACCATGCCCTAGAACACAGTAACAATAGGCTTTGGTTATTGATTAGGTATTGAATTCTGGATAGAACCAAACTTACTACTGTAAAACTTGAAAACAATTCTTACATCATGAATAAGCAAAAATGAAGAAGTGATATAACAGTATATTTTAACTCTGATATTGACTATAGCATGTAGTCTAATTCCCTTTATACAAAGAGCTTTTTAAAATCGGCAGATTTAGATCATTTGCATCACAATGTAAATATTTATTTTTCTGAACAAGTGAAAAAGAGTCAATTTAGAACGCTTTGTTTTCTCCCTTCAAAATAATATCACCTTTGCTGACCGCATCCATTCTTTCACATCAGCTTCTTTTGTCTACCTTTGATCTTTCAAAAAAGTAAATCAAATTAACATTGTATCACAAAACAAAACTTGATCCTTCTTGAAGATCTGTACAGTTGTAAAAAAAATGCCAAAAGATATTCAAGGAAAAGTTAGTAATTCAGGTGATGATTTCTAACTTACAGTTCTTCTACCCTTCAAGCACGTGAAGCAATTCAATAAATATGTGGAAAATATAAATCTGGAAATTCTAAAGTCTGAAATTATGACATTGAGAGATGCAACACCTAAAGATTAACTTAGGCAGGCAAAGCAGGTGGAAAAAAAAATCCTATCTTAAAGGGCCTCACTGAGTGTGGAAAACCAAGTAAACCTCAGCAAATACAAGGAAAATTTCTACACCAAAACTTGACACTAAGACAGGTCCACACAGCATTTCAGAGGTGTGAGTGCAGCCTGCACAGGCCCAAGGAGTGAACCTGACTGTTCCAGCAGCTGCAGCACCTGGGCAGGAGAAGCTTAACTGTGGACTGCAGATGTTATGCTGAGCATCTCCAACACTCAGCTGCTGAAGCCCACGCCACTGCAGACCAGAGCCTGGCACACCTGCTGATTATCTCAAATATTGTTCTGCTTCCTCTATAGAAGCCTTTAATTTTCACTGTACACACCCTTTACAGAACTGCATTCCAAAGGAAGATTTGCTGCAGAAGTGAAATGATTTGAGACACAAATGTCTTAAAAATGAAAAGCACATTATGCTGAGATTACCCAGGAGTGGCCAGTCTATAATTTGTCTCTACTTTCAAGGTTGTGTTTGGTTTTCTTCCCCCCTCCCTTTCTTTTACAGGCAAAACCCTTACATTAGACCTAATACATCTACATTAAGTAACCAGGAAAAATAATATATACACAGTCCTCTAGCCCTAAGGAACCTCAACATTAACACTGACTCTCATAAGCATTAGAAATTGTATAGCCACAGGCATTGTTGACTGAAATGTTTTATTATCTGGGGTATTTTAAGTTTCATAAATATTTTATACAACCTGATAAAGAGCAGTGAAATTTCTACTAAACTGGCATTAACTAGCTCACAGTATCAATTATTAAACGATGACAAGACAAATGATTTAAGAGGGCATTTAAGGAAACGGCTTGCTGTTGCTTCTGGCAGTGGATTCAAGGTATAACAATGCCAGCTATTAAGAATATGAGCTGGTAACCATGTCAAGCAATTTCAGCCATACAAAAGCAGCAAAGTGCTTATTTATTGAACCTCATTTTTATCTTCAAAGCAAAAGTACCTGTGTTCAACTTGGCTGCAGTGGGGAAAACTGAGCAGACCTTATGTGCATGCTAAATTTAGAAATAAAAGTAATATATATTACTGTAACAAACAGTACCTATCTCATTTTAAAATATTAAAAGCCTGAAGATAGCCTGTTATAAAAGTATGGGATGTATAAAACTGCACTTGAAACTAATGAGCAGTATTCTAACATTGCAATCATATAAAAAGAACCAAATGCTGTATTAAAATGTAATTGAACTACTGTTCTACTACAAGAAGAAGGGTTGCAATATCCAAATTTACATATGGGAAGATTATTTGGATTTCATAGTTGAAATAAAGCTGCATTCAATTTACAAGTACTAACTCTTACCTGTTAAACTCTTATCTCAGGTTTCTGTATTGCACCTGACATGACACAACTAACACATGAAGCAGTGCAAGCAATGACAGTGTTAGAAATGTCATTAACAGGTAAAACAGCAGTATGAGTGTAGAGCTTGACAGGTAAAAAGGACCTTTCAAGATAATCCTTCAAAGTTGGCTTTTGGACATAAAAATGTAAGCAAATCAGCTTTTTTCAAGTCAGAATTAAAAAAAAAAAAAAAAAAAAAAAAAAAAAAAAAGCCAGACATACTCCCTGCAGCCATGAGTACTGGCCCTTTTACCCTTGCCTGCAGCAATAGCAGCACCTTCTTGCTTATTACACTAATTCCATTTTATGCTGCAGGAATTTATCTTTAGAAATTAAATACGACAGACCAGGGAAACCTCCAAGCGTAAATATTGACCATTTACCTTTTCAGACTGATATAAAATTAGCAGAATAGTAAAAAAAGCCCTTAGTTAACTGCTTAGCCACTCTGTAGAGAAAGATGAAAACTGGATTGTGGATTTCCAGTAAGTCCTACGGCAATAAAACAGCAGAGGAAATAACTACTCAAGCAAGAACGTAACAGTTCCAGAAACCATATTTCATAGCTTATCTGGAATAGCAAAGGTTCTTCGCTGGTGCATATTTGGATTTTGAGGTAAATGAAAGACAGTTCAGTTTTCTTTAAGCACATTTCACACCTGAAACTGCAGGGAGTCTTTTTGCATCAAGATGTTAAGACCTTCATGCTGTAAGATTTTTTGCATACCTCAACCTTGCCCCTCAGTGCAGCCCCACACAGAAGTGCCTTAAATGACAATGTTTGAGACTTCATTCAGGCCCTTTACAAGGCTGACAGCCTTCCTGTGCAAACCTGGGGTTTCACAGTGTTCATCCTTTTTATTTTCTTTAGGTTGTAATTTACAGGCTCTTGTTAACCTAAGTGGTATTTTTTAAAAACAGAGATTTAACATAAAGCGCAAGTTTTTAATTTCAACAGAAGAAATTTCTAATGCAAAATTAAACCAGGTAAAAACCTAAGAAATCAAACTCAAAGAAGACTAATGAATGAAACCAGCAAGTTTCATATATATATATATGGATTTATAGTCTAGCACATGCTGGGAAATGTCATTGCTTCCAACATGAAATCTCTAAGAAGGTGCACCACCAGTAAATTTCACAAAGCATTTTCCTACAACAGAGAAGCCAAATTTATATTCCTTAGCATTAATAGGAAAAGATAGAATCTATCAGAAAACACATAAATCAACACTTTATCTTACCACTACAAAGATACAAGGAAGAACTTATTTTATCACTGGGTAGAATATAATCAATTAACAATAAGAAAAAATAAGTTAACTGAAAACATACCTCTTCTTGTGGAATATTTTTATCATTTTCAGCCTCGATTCTCACTCTTACAACGCCAGATTTGTCCACTATCTCCTGAATCAGTTTTCCATTTTTTCCTATTACTTTTCCTACAGAAAGAACATACAGAACATTCCACCTTTATGGTTTTCCCCCCCAAACCTGAGAGTACTGCTGTACTCTAATTAGACAAGACTGTTTAAGTACCAGGGCAAGAACTTGATACTCTACAACAAAGATTAGCTAACAAGCCACAAACTAAAATGTCCACATAAGCTTGTGGTGTTAACTTATAAAACACATTATAAAACTTATAAAACAGAAATACTCAGTACATTGAATGCTTATTTCACTTTGCTTTGGTAGGTTTTAAATAGCTTTAGAAAATTACAAACATTTCTGTTTGCATTCAAAATATCCCATCAAATCAAACAAAAACCTTTTTACACTGCCTTAACATTTGCTGCAACTACTTAGTTCAGTAAACTTAGTTCATTTACAAATTCTTAGTTGATCAAAAACTACCAAAGATACTGACTATGGCAGATGTAAAATTCTCTAAAACTGAGGATTTTAGACATTTTTCCCAGTAATTTATAATGCACTAAAAAGTCAAAAACACAGAAATAAATTATACTCCAATGCCAGTAATGCAGACAAGTATCTTTTGAAGCAGACTTTCTAGTGTGAGACATGGAAAATGGAAATTTAGTTCTCTCCAATCTCAGCAAAACAACGTGCTGGCTGCAAACAGGCAGGAAAACTAAGCTGCTTGGGACGTGATGAGGGACAGCCACATCCTTCAATCTTGAAAGCCACAGCTTTTAAGAAAAGCTTTAAAAATGATATCAAAGATGTTTTCTGCAAGTAACCAAAAAAAAGTATTTTTATTTAACAAACTGCTGTAAATCTTAAAACATGTTCTTTTTTCATTGGCACGTCATTAAATTAGAGGTAAAAAACCCCAAGTGCATAACAGCTACTGCTTGACTGATAAAATTAATCCATGAAGAATTTAAATGCTACTTTGAGTCACAGACTCCTATTGCTCCAGTCATTCAAAGCTAAATAAAGTTTCTTTTTGTGTTTCAACTTTTCTGACATGAGTATTTACAGAAAACAAGAAAAAATACAGCCAGTAATTTCCTCCTCAATGGCAAAGGCTCTTCTGAGTGTCAAAAACTATTTCTGAGAACTTTATCTGAGTACTTGATTTCATTATATATTACTGGCAAATGGAACAGCACCTCGCTAACAAATGTAAAAAAACCTTGGTAATGATTTAAAAAACTAAATCAAACAAAATCTCCAGAACTTACATCAGTTACTCCAATCAAAACTTTTGTGACGATTTGGCAACACACAAAAATATTTTCAAATAAAAATGTCCCTACGGTCTTTAAAAGATAAATAACACATTGGGTGGATTTTATTAAGTTTGGATTTTTTTCAGTTTGAATTTTTAAAAGTATAATTAAATAGAAAAAGGTGGTTGTTTGCATTTTCTTTAGATTAAAAAATATCAATATATATATATATATATATATCTAAAAAAGCCTTCTGTATTTTTAAAGCTGATTACTAGGAATTTTAAAAGCCAAATTATTAAACATAGCTTATTTCAGACATAACATAGGGTTCAGCCAAAGTTATATTCCAAAGTATCCATGTCAAGGATTAAGAGTAAAAATGAAAATCTGCCAAAAAGATGTAATTGCTAAGTTTTAAAGAGAAACAGACTTTAAGACCTCAAATTAAAATAATGATGGCAGGTTATCATTTTCACTTATCACCAGTAAATACACAAGGGAATAAGAAAGGGAAAACTACTGCTTTTAATAAATTCCAGAGCTGAGCTGACACATTCCTTGGTACTTGTCCTGCTGCAGAATTTCACACTGCTTCAACACCAGCCTTCATACACTCCCTGACAACCTATTAAAGCATTTGCTTTCAGGGCTATGTTATACAAAGTATTTTCTCTGCTTTTTTCTTATCTACTGAATGAAATCATGTATTTTTATTTTGCTTTGTAGCATCAAAAATTCACTAAAAGACTTCTCCACATATTCAAGGGCTGCATGTGTTCTTAAGGACTTTTTTAATTGTTTGGCTATAGAAGTATTTTAAATTTTCTTCATCACTGATACCTAATTCCTAGTTCATCTCACAGTGCTGCTTCTAAGCTCCTCTACAAGGACAGGGGGAAAAAAGACAAATGTAGGTAAAAGAAATTATTCAAAATAGACTAGGAAAATATGAAACTGCAGATTCATCCCTCTATAGCTGAACTACTCTCTAGACTTGTTTGGGGGGGAAGTAATTAATTCTCTGGCTCAGTCCAGAAATTCTGCCTCATACATTAACATCAGCACATTGCTTCTAGTTCAGTGCAGTTCTCAGAAGGCATTTTCCTTACTATCACAGAGGCAGCCTCCAGAACTGACATACCTACTAAATTCCTTGGGACTTGTATGACATCTTCAGCAAATTCAAGGTAACTTCTTGCCTTTTTCACTGCATCTTGATCCTGCAATAGAAAGATGTGTAAGAAACAAGATTCATTTCCCCAAGGCTATTTTTGCTTGTTTCTTTCAAGTATTTTCTGAAATGATAAAGAAGGGAACTCACCTCTCCATAAATATGGAATGTACAAGTATCTTCATCAAGATCAATAGCAGTCACTCCAGGGACTTTTCTGGCCTGCTGAATATTAGCACCATGAGTGCCAATGGCCAAACCCATTAAGTCTTCACGTACTACAAACTGTTCATGGAACCGGGATGCAAGTTGCCTAGAACTCTGAAGAAAAATCTAGTGTCAGCTCACTTTGATTGTCCCTCCAGCACACTGGAGAGAGAAATCAACAAATAAATTTCAAGCCTATTTTTCAATCAGGTGCTTAGCCTACTTTTTATTTACTCAATCCCTTTACTGCACTTATTTTAGCTTCAAAAACACCAAGGAGTCTCCTCCAGAAGTCTTTTAAATATTACCGTAAGGCTGGTCTCTAGCTGTGTTGACACCTCTATTTTGAATTACCCTATAACAGCTACAGCTGTCAGGTGTTACTAGGTAAGACAGCACTCATAAGGTAGTAAAATAGTAACTGTGGTTATTATTAAAGCAAACCTTATGATCTCTGAGAAAAAAACCAGCACCAATTTCAACCAGGTGGGTGAAACTGTAATAACTCAACCACTGACTATAAAGGAAACAGATCAGCTGTGGATATCCACTGCACTTAAAAAAAAAAAAAAGAAGAATCTGTGCCTATGCATGACAACACAAAAACTGTTTGAATTCAGAGAACAAATATGTTCAGAATTTCATCCAGAAATCACACATCTACCCAGACAGAAGGGTCATACTGAGAAGTCACAAGCATGACTATAAGAGAACACAGGAAAGGAACAATTGTTAATGCACTGTTGGAAGATTAGATAATTTCCAACTGTGATAATTTATTAAGGAGGAAACAAGATAAAAGCCAAGATATATAATCCTGTCCATGTTTCTGCATTGCAATCAAAGCTGTAACTACTCTCAATACACACATAAGCACACTTCAAATTAGCAGTTTAATGACAGGAAAATGATGTTGAGAAAACATCAAGGAATTGCCCACAACAAGCCCTATACTGTTCCAGCTACACTAGCACTCCTTTCTGACCAGCTCCACCTTAAAGCTGTTGGTAAAGATCCTCTGCTAAATCACAGTTTCAAAGAACTGGCTACAGTAGATAGTGGTGTAAGCATCCAAGTGTTGTGGAATACTTCAGATACTCTGAGAGCACTGTCCACTACTTCAGTAGCTACATTACAATTTGCAATTGTAATTTGGAAGACAAGACAATTTGGAAAGCAAAAGTTATTTTTAATTGCTCACATTTCTACTTCTAACAGATAATCTAAATGCCGATTTTCTAGCTGACATCTTTTATAGACTGCCAAATAAGAGGAAAGAACAAGATGACCAAGACAATGATCAGTTGTTAACTATCTACATGTGGAAAAGATGAAGCTACATCACTGAGGACCTTGGCTTTGACAGTCAAACTAGTTTTACTGCCTGTACTAAAACATCAGCTTTTCTGCAAATTATTATGAAGTGTGTTCTATATAACATCAGAAATTCTGTATTCTACTTCCCTCCAACATATTAGTAAGAAACATCTATGCAAGTAACGTATTAATACCTACACAGCAGCCATAACTGAGTTCTACTTAGCTACAGTAAAATATGAACCAGATTGCAAAACACTTGTCAATTCAGGCATTTTAGTATGTGAAAGACACCCAAAACAGCTAAAGCGCACCCACTGGGAAGGAATGTAAACAAAAATAACCCGTTATTTTAACTGATGCTCTAAAAACCATGTTTGAGAAGTAGAGCCATGCAAGTCAAGAAGATAATATGCAAAAAAGAAGGTGCAACAAATAGGAAGAAAAAAACTCAATTGAACAAAAGAAGCTTGTCTAGTGATAATGACTTAGAAAACAAAATATGTAAAACTGCTAGAAGAAGGGGCAGATTTTAAAGCTCAGTGACTATGAGACACATACAAAGGTTTATTTGATGAAAACAGTGAGCTGCTATTAATAATGCAGTAAAGCCCGAAGTGTTCTCTGAGTATTTTTTCTGCAGATGGACACGTGCAGTCTGTTGGTATATCAGTGTCCCAACAGTAATCATGAGTATGATTTTTATTATTTGAAGCGCTTGCTTTCAACTTTGGATGAAACTGATTTTATATTTACTCTAAATACAAGAAACACAAATGCCAAAATGAAAATTATCAGCCAACTTTTGTCACACAAATTTTAACTGTAAATATTTAACTCACAACCTTTATTTAAGTACTTAGGTAGAAACTGAAGTTCAACAATGGTTTTCTAGGGAGAACCAAATCAAGTTTGAGACTTTTACAGCAGCAAAAAGATTCAGTGTTACAATGACAAGAAGAATCCAAGATTAATTTGGGAAAGGAATCAATGACAACAGTTGTTGGTGCATGCATTTGTGGGGGCATGTAAAGGGAATTAGCTCTAAAGAGGCTGTTGTTCTTCCCACATCCAAAATAATACTTTGCACTTCAAGAGGTAAACTGCCCACACAACTGTCAGCTCTGGAGGATAAAGAAGAATGATTACTGAAGAGCTACAGTGGGGTGCTCAGTAAGGAAGACCAGTGAGGAAAAACTGGTCCATCCTTAATCTTGACAAAAATCAAAACCCAAACAAACTTGGATTTTAGCTCTGAAACATGGAAATCAAGATATGAAAGAGAGAACAACAGAAGTGCGAACTTGTTGTAACAGTGAATATTACCCACTGGATACACAAGGCCTGAACATGACATCCCACTTCAAACAGATATAAACCCTGGGAAGGGGGAATGAAACCTGGCTCTGCAGAAACACTGCTGGCATACACCCATGTCAAAATGAGTTACAGGAGTTTAAGTGGTACCTCTGGCTCTTGACAGTGAATCTAAAGTTTTCATCAATATTGCCATTTTTTCTAATTTGTAGATAGGAGAAAAGTCATGAAGAAATATTAATGCTGGTGTACAAAGAAACCTTATTTCCTTGCCTACTCTTTTTCTTTTATTTTTTTTTCTCTTACCCATGGACAAGTATGACTCAAGCTTCTTGCCAGTCAACACCCACTCACCAGTCACAGGAGTATCAGAAGCTGTATCTGCTGTAAGATTATTTCCTAACATTTTATCTATAGACAAACCTATCCCTTCATATATTCTAGCAGCATCAGTTTTCACCCCTTCCACCTCATTTTCATGGTGTTATTTTGCTAGATCCAGTTCTAGTCCTATCAGGATCATAATATATTCATTCCCAACTACTTTTAAAGCTACAAAATATGTGGCATTATTTGTGCAATGATGGTTATTTTGTTTTAACTATATTATTATTAAAAATATGAAAGAAATACACGTGTATGTGTGTCTACATATCAGTATTTAAACCCCACAAAATCCTGCTGATAAAAACAAATCTTTGAAAGAATAGGCCCTATAACTGTAAACATCTTAGTTGGATGACACTTCCACTTGCCTTTTATATCACCTAGATTATTATCGATACATCATTACTTTCACCTCAATACAAGTCCCACCGGCTAAGGAACACAGAAGGGATTTCTTTATTATCTGTTTCACTCAAATTACTGCAGGGAAAACAACCAACATACCTCCAGCTGTTTGCTGGCTTCTTCATTTCTCAGAATCAGGGATAACTTGGTGCGAAGACTCCGAAAGTGCATATCAATCAGCATGTTGGCCCGCTTTGTGGTTACATCGTTGATTGACTGAATTGTTAATAAACAGAACAGTGCTTTACACATGGACTCTTGAAACAAACCACTGCCAATGGTACAGTAAAACATTTGTACTTACCAAAATAATAAGCTGGTGGTTTTCAGAATCATATGTTACAGAAAAAGCTCCAACTGCCTTTTTGAAGTCCTTATGTGCAGATTCTTTGGCACACCTAGGAATAAAAATGTAACAAAGGTAAAAATAGTAACCACTGCATTTATGGTTAACAGTCAAAAAGAATAATTCCTTAACACAAAGAATGTAAATAAAGATTTCTAAGCTCTCCCTTTCAAAGCAGGTGTTATTTTATTTTGTTATAATTTATTTTACTCATTTTCCTTTCATTTGTTTTCACATGAGTAAGATTAGAAATATTTCAGAAATTTTCTGTATGTAAATCTGTGAAATTACACAATAATCACTATGATCAGCAAGTACAAGATTTCAAACACATCATGAACCATTAAAAAGTGTGATTTCATTTTAATCCTTGCAGCATTCTAATGACCATATGCTCATCTCATGCTGTGCTTGGCTTCTCCAAGTTTCCTGTGTCCACTCACCACCAAGTGAACTTTTCTATGCTGTAACACTAACTTCAGGAAGTTTTAGTCTAACCTGAATTTATAACTCATTCCACACTGAGGCAATAACATGCATCTCAAGGAAAGCAGAAAGAGACCTGAAGGTAAACAGGGGGAGTCAGTATTAATCTGACTTTTAGAGATGTAACTATATGAAAACACGTCCATGGCCTAGGAGAAAAGTTAGCTGGCTTTGGATCATACTCTGAGAGGTTTCATTATTGTTCAACTATTCCCAGAGCCATCATCAAATAATAAAAGTTGACCAAGAATGGATTCAGATTAACCTGTGCACACCACTGAACAGCGCTAAGAGTGAAAATTTCAATCTCTATCACACACAAACCTTAAAACTTTGAAGAAAGTGTTTCTTCCTCCAGGACTAAACCACAATTCAAAAATCATCTTTTCTATTTTTGAAGTATGACCACATTGATATTTGTATTTTTTACATCCTTACATTTCAGTAAGTTATGAGTGGTAAAAAGCATTTTTATTCCTCTTGTCTCAGGCTTAAGAAGTTACCCACATTCTGAAACAAGTTATAAAGAAACGCTTGTACTTACATTTGCCTTAAATCTTCAGGGACTGCCAGTTTGATTTTATGAAAAGTATCTTTTGTTGCGGGTTTATTGGGGTTCACAGATCTCAAACGCTCAATTGTGACAATTTCGTTGTATGTAGCATCACAGGCTGCATATTCTATTACGTAGAACTGATATAAAAATAATAAAATCATCCAAGCCACATATTTTATGACATGAGTGAGCATTACACTATTAAGGAAAAGGTACTTTTGTTAACTGTACAAGTAAAATTTGACTTCTCAGGTTGCAGTTAATGGTAATTGCAACTGTCCTAATCAAGAAACTCTTAAAAAATGAATAGAGATTAGTTCAAACCACAGTGTACATCAATACATAAAGAGAAAAGAAAGAAAAAAGTATAAGTAAATATAAAAAATATATATGTATATATGCATACTCCTACCTCACCCTTTATCATTCTCACTTTAGCCAACCACCAACAGCAGGGTTCTTTTTCATTTGCTCTGGAATAAACCTGAACAAAATACATACATTATATTCTTAAAAGACATCACAAAAACTGACACTAATATGACCAGGAACTCTACAGGAACAAAATCGAGCAAAACATCTTAGTACATTAAGTCTCTGAGCACAGCATAGAAAGCAAGTAACAGCAAGATTGTATAGACAAATAATAATAAATAACACAGTGCCAAATCTACTGGCATTAGAGGCCTCAGCCTTGCATGCAGTCAAAAGAGATAATTCAGACTTTTACATCTGTTAATATTTAATCAACAAGAATTCTAATTGTGTGTAGGTCTGATGAGGTCCTACCGGTGGGTGAGAGGAAGGTCACACATCTACACTTCTTTAGCACATTCATGCTATCAGCCACATCCACATTACAGAAGTTTTTCCATTTTCTTATCTTTCAAATTAAAAACCTACAGAGCATGCAAGCAGAATGCAAACCTTGCAAGTCCTCTTTCTTTAAATTAATTATAAAACTAAGTGTTACAATTTTATAAAATAAGGAGGTTTTAGAAATATGCTCCTTTAAAGTCAATCTCTTTGCATATACACATAAGTATTTACATATACACATATATTTCTATGTTTTTATGTATACACACATATAATGCAAATTATCTGATTAAGCTTGAAGCTTTGGTAATAGAGACATTATTACCTTACAGCTTAACAACTATTTCTGAATTAATCCAGTCCTAAGAAGGACTGATCTGTCATCAATGCAACACTGATCATGTTTGTAAATCAGCATATTTGTAATTCAGCATGGAGGTCATGGTACATGGAATTTTACACGGCCTTTTGTGGCACATGGAATTTGCATGGTTTATTACTGTCAGACTCTGGGTTTGGTGATGTGCCTGACACTGTTTTCTGCAGTACTTGGAATCAAAGTAGGTGACATCACCTAACATGGAAGCAAACATTCCAGTGGCCTGGCTGACATTTTTCACAGCAAGTTCTCTCACTTCTCAAGACAAGAGCTGTTAATGGAGCATACACACCTCTACTTCATCGCTTTCATTTATGTCTTTATTATAGCCTGCAGGTGGTGGGAACCTCACATCATGGAATGGGATTTGTCTCTCTGGTTGCCAGCTACGAACAAAAATCACAGTGAATGGTTTAAATATTTTCATCTTCTTTGTAAACAGAAATCAAACATTTTTAATCCATTAATTTTACAGTTTCAAACTCTGTGGAGCTTTTGTGCATATATGTATTAAAGGTAATGTGATCCAATGTATACATAATAAGAAAAAACACATCTAAATGACCATTAAGCATCTTAAGTGAATTCCTGATGACACCTGCAGCCTTTTGAATCTTCTAGTAGAAGCTCTTCCTCTATTTACAGGTATGATTTTTAACCCCAACATTAGAAACATAGATTAAAAAACATTCCATAACACATTTGGACACTTGCTTCAAAACAAGCCTGTATCTTCTTTTTCTTTGGTTCTACTTGATCAGAACTGTCATCATTTTCATTTAGGAAAATTTTAGTTTCTAGATCAGAAAATTGGTATTCATCATTTATCTACAAATCAAATTTTCTAGTAATGGAATCTTCTAAAAATAAGGCAAGACATTCACAGGAGAAAGAGTCAGTAATGGCACAATTGTTGACTTACTCAAACATGGGTTGCCATCACGTAAATTCAATTAACAACATGATTATCTTCCCAGCAAAACCAATGTTACTATGGTTTTGCACTTGAAAGTATTTAAACCATTAAAAGCATTTATATAGAAATATCACAAAATAGTGGATTCTAACATAACTTTAGAAAATGCCAGCAGCAAGTTTAGTGTATCTAATATACACTACTCTACACTAAGCCATATTTAGGTCAATCAAATGCAAGGTTGATACTGTCATTTACAGGTACAACAACAGCAATACACTTACTTGTTTTCAAATGAAACTGTTATTGAATCTTCATGCACATCCTTTACAAATGCCTGTGAAGGAAACAAAGTATAATTATGGTATGCTTATGGACACTTTCAAAAGTAATTTTAAGCCTGTAAAACACCTCCTTTTCACACATATTGATGAATCTCACAATAAAAGTATGTTTTAAAGTCAGCCCTTTTAATTTTTCAATAGACTTCTATGAAGCACATCCTGAAAGCTGATAACCTCCTTGTGTTCATGACTGCCAGAGCACTGATACACAAACAGAATGCCTCAGCTATGAAGACATTGTTTCTACTTTTTAGAAGCAACAGGAAAGGTTAGTAGGAAATTAAAAGATAGTTCAAGAGTTTTAAACATTTGATTTAATAATCACACAATGTATAGACAGGCATAGAAATTAAACATCAGTATTCCTCAAAAAACAAACTAAACCAAAGCACACAAAACCTCCAAGTCCTGTCTCTTCCTTCTTTACCTCAAAGTACATTTGAACATTGCACTAGCAAAACTCATCTATCCCAATTTCAGCACAATCTTCCCCACATTTACTTCATCACACTAAGTCTGTAGAGCACAAACTTTAGATAAATGCCCTGGGGTCTGCCTCCCCTTTTTTCCTGGGGATGGACAGCAATTGTGCTCTCCATGTCACTACAAAGAAGAGGACAGAACTAGAATTCACACTGAGGGCTCCTCCTGCTTTAAGCACTCAACTGACTGATTCAGATTTGATCAATGTTTAGCTTAAAGCCCCAAATGCTCCTTTCTCCATTCCCCATCCACAGAACAGCAAGACCAGCGTACTCAAACAACTTTGGGATCTACCAATGAAAATATTTTTCTTAGCCTGAAACAATGGAGGTCACAGGTTAACCAGGGATGAAAAGATTGTGGGGTTTTATTCTTTATTTTTAAAGTATCTCTATCAACTTCTGAAACAAGTTGCTGAAGTGCTGAATATTACACTAACATTAGTCCACACATAGTATCATTAAAAGGTAGGTAAATAAAAGCCCATGAGCAAGAAAGAATAGAGAAGTTTTTTCTACTAATGGAGATCCACCTTAGTAGATAAAATTCTCAGTGAACTGAAAATAATTTAGCAGCAACTACCACTTCTGTAGAAGAATTAGTTAATGAAGTATGGAACATTTTATTATTCTCCATTTGATTATTCTTGCCCTTGCAAGTTTCCAAGACAAGACGAGATCTTATCTCTTACAAGACAGTAAGAGTCTCTCTTATATGGAACCTAAATGGTTTTTAAAAAAATTGTTTGCTATTTATGCTTTAAAAAGCATTCCAAAATATTTCCTGAGTTGCAGCTGTATCTTAGTATCAAAGAAGAGTGATGGCAAATACAGAGTTCCAATAACTGGCTAAAGTTAAGTGATAATGCATGTAAATGTCATCATTCAGAGTCATTCAGTACAAGGCAGAGACCATCCAAGTTGGTAACGGAAACATAACCAATGCCACTGTGAATAGAAATCAAAGGAAAGCCACAGCGACAACAGCAAAAAAATTATTTTATACCTTGTTTGCCTCCCAATACTCTTAAGAACAAGATTTCATTATTGCCAGCAAGCCAAGGAGACTTAAAAAAGTCTCCAAATGCATAATTATGAATTTCAAAATTCCATATTCCTTCAAAGGGGATCACAAGCACAGCTGATGTTTTTCAATGACATGGTACAAAGAAAATTTAAACCACATCTTAAGATCATGTTCATAGCAGCACAGAAAGTTTTTTTAAAGAGACAACAGAGCTCTCAGTTGATTATTATTGATACATTTAGCTCATGTTTCATATTGGTGTATTCTGTAAGAGGATTCCAGAACTGGATATGCATTTGAACAATACAATGGTGGTCCTGACTCATTTCACCAACATTACACATATCACCTTCAAAGGCTTCATCCACATGTCTTCCAAGGGTAGCAATGTGCAACTTATTCTTACCGATGCAGCTGAAATGGAACACCTTTAACACCTGAAAAACATTATGATCACTACCAGATACTAGGTATGGCTCCTTTGTGCCACAGACTGGACAATGATTAATAGTAGTACTCAAGTATGTAAAAGCGGAGATTATTTTACAAAGCTAATTCAACAGAAATTATACCAGCAACACTTAATAGCCTTCAGAAGAACAGGTAAGAGTAGCACAACCCATGCCCTGAGAAACAATCTGTTGATACCTAATTTTCTCATATTTACAAAATGTCAAAAAAATAACATTTCCTTGTATGAAAGATACTTCGGGAGAAGTCATCACCAAAAGGTGCCCCAATCAGCACTCTAAAAAGTGACAGAAAATGGCAGAAAAATTCACAAGTACAGCAGCAAAGAGCAAGACTACATCTCATACTGAGAGAAACAGAAGAGAGCTCCTAACATCCAACTCACCTTGAGCACAATCCTAGGGACTACAGCAATATATCTCATTAAAGGTAATAATGCAAAAACCTACCATTAATAAGTAAACCAGGATGTGCACCAAATAAATCTATGTTAAGCTGAAGACTAGCCTGGACCTTCAAATAGTTTAGCAATTGTATTATCTGGAAACAGTAAAACTTGAGAGACATAGCTGGCTGAAAGAGGAATGAACTACACTGTCCTGTTTCAGCTCACCTTAAACAGTTCTTGCACACTGCTTTGGTCACAATCCAGAAATCAGAGGGAACCTGAACCAGGAACATGAGTTAAACTGCTGACCTTACATGGTAGCATCAATACAGACGCTGCCAGGGAAAAATCACAAATCTGAATTTCTTTAGCTTACACCAAATTCAGAAGAGTCAACCACAGAAACAGATGAATACCTAGTTTTCGCTTCAGTCTAGCCAAAAACATTGATGTCATAACACTGTGGTTTGTCTTTTAATAGTCTTGCAAAATTACAAAAGTTAATTGGAATAAATTTATAATGAATTACAAAGTTAACAAGGCCTTGCCAAATATCTAACTTCAAATATGCAATAGATGAAACACATCTGAAAAACTCTCTGTGATCTTTATGCTTAAAAACCACCATGCAAAATATATTAATATATTAATGACTATTAATACAGTCCTTAACACTTGGCTACCCAAACCTATCTATCCAGAGAAACAGAGTTTTCCCTGTTTTTCAGTTTCTTGTGACACAGAAAAATGTCAGATACTTATCACATCAGTTTACCATTGTCAGGACATAGCAACATGTCAATTTTCCTCTAATATAAATATTTAAACAGATATGTAGTACAAAAATGTATTTGGACTCTTCAGCACTATATATTTCAATTTGTACATTTCCAAGTACAAGCAGAAAAAGTCTGAAACATTTCTAAGTTTTCCTTAAAAAAGCTAATATTTAAGCAGCAATGCCTTTGGATAAGTATTAATTTTGGTTTTCCAAACTGCTTGGTAGTCTTGTTTTTGTAATACTTGTTAAATTACACACAATGCTAAAAAGAAATGAAACCTTTAACACCATAAGCCAAATTCACAGACACAGGACAAGCCAGCCCTAGATGTCAGTAAAGGTAGAGAAGAGGCTCTGATCTCACACAGAGTATCACAAGAAATACAATAATCATTCATCAGCCTTTTTTAGATATAGAGGGTAAGTAGGCATGGAAATTCAAACATAATGGTGCAGATAATATGAGTTTAAAATGCACCCCCATGAAGGGACAGAACAGTGGCTCTAATGAATTTGGTCACAAAGATGAAATGCCTTAAAAACAAAGTGAAACTGGACAGAAGCAAAATGAGTAAAAGACTGAAGCAGCTGACATACATTATTGCTAACAGCAGAAACACCAAGAAAGAGTACACAAAAATTGTGAACAGTGGCACATTTTATAATGGCAAAGGTTGATTCTTCTTCTCTAATGTGGAAAAAAGAATCAAACGTGGTAAGTTTTCTACACCAAATTTGACTCCGAGTCACATAAACCATTTCATTTCTCTCCATGCTTCAGATATAATTAAGTAAAAAAGTTTACAGCATGGCATGTCTCAAACACAAAAGCATTCACATTCTAAGAATGGCTATATGCTGAATATATGGTCTAAATTTTACAAATTATTTGTTTAAAAATAAGAATTACTGGAAACACCAGCATATTTTTATTTTTATGCTAAATGGAATGACAGACACTTCAAAGGAAAAAATAAAGGCTTCAGCTGCCATGAAATTTTGCTTTTTTAAAGTCTGCTCACATCATCAGATGTGAGCATTGTCAACCATTTTAATAAAGGAGGATAATTAACCTTAAGAAGGGAAAGTAGGGAAATAGGCTTTTTAACATAAAAAAGGCTATGTTGATAACAAACGTGCATCTACTGTTAGTGTAACCGTTCTGTAACATTTCATACCTGTTGGAAGGAGAATGTCAAAAGGGAACTCGGTGTATAATCAAGTCTGAGAAAGGCTGGACATACAGAGGAACAGAATAGGGAGAAGAAAAATAGTCACAGAAATGGTCACCAGACGAGGGAAAAGCGTACAGGCGGTCATCCTCAGAAGGACTGAGCAGACAGGCTCATGAATGTACAGACACTGGAGATATTGGCTGAGGGTGTCTATATGGAACAGTGAAAGAAAAAAAAAGTATACAGAGGGCCACAGGAACAGCTGCTAATAGTGAGACCCGGAGTAATAAAGTAGTAAGAAAGACGAATTATTTTATCAGCTGCAGCTTCAATGAAGTTATCTATAAAACCAAGCAAACAGCAGCAAGGCGCTGAAACTACTGGGATAAGAAGTGGAAGATTTTCACAAGGTTATAGAGCAAGAAGTGGCAAAAATTGGGTTACAGACAACATAGAGATATTAACAACAAACACTATCACACAACTGACTGCCTCAAACAGGATGCTCTCCATCTTTAGCAGAGGACAGAGAGAACCACTCCCAAACTCAAAGAGAAAAATCAATCCCATGTTGGAAAGGCATCCAGCATGTCCCCTTCTAAAGGGAAATATCTAAAGCTAATCCCAAAAAGATTAGGCAAAGGCTGGCTATTAGTCTTCTGTGAATAAGAACTTCAAAACCCAATTTACTACTCCTATACAAGAAAAGATGAGAAGATATGTCCTAACACTGCACACCTTCAAGATCTAGTAACCTGGCTGTGAGCTGCAAAAACAGTTTCGTCCCCTTGGATTTACAGTCCTGGTAGTTGTTGGACCAGTCTTCATAAAATAAGGAAATCTAACATCTTCTTTCAGAGGATTCTGGGCCCAACCACATAGTAAGTCATGACTAAGCATCTCTAGGTACCAGATTGTCAATTATCCCTGAATCATGCCCATTTACTGTACTGTGCTTTCCATGGAATAATTCATCTTAGGCAAGGAGGAAAAAAAAAATAATGAAAGCACAAAGTATGCACTAAGCAGTATTTTGATTCCATTCAGAAAGAACCAGTCTGCACTACAGCAGTCACATCAACACATTCCAGTATTCCAGTGCACTTGACCAGGATGAAATTTGAATTCAAATCTTATAGGTGAATATGAAGGCATCCTCAAATCATCTCCTATGTTTTGTGTGGGACATGAATCCTCTGGATATATCTCAGGAAACACTGGTTTGTTACTTTCAGCAGGGCTTAGGTGGGCAGCTTTGTACTGTCAGGATCCAGATGCTGGTGGGTACACTAAAATGCTCAGGTCCTCAGAGAGACCTACAAGGAGGGTATGAAAAGCTGAAGCCACAATTAAGTGCCTACTTGAGCCACTTCATCCCATCCTGACTATAGCAGCCTCATACTCCTGCCCCTTCCATGTCTTAGTAACAGGAGAGGTGTATTTTTCAAAATGATTTACATATTCTCATTCATTCAGAATTATTCAAAGCCAAAGAAATCTTCACCAGTTATCAGTAAATAATGAGATTGAATAAAAGAATTGTTTTGCTTTTGGTTTGTTTGAAACATTACTGCTGTAAATCACTTCTCAGGAGGCTGCTTAAAGAAAATTTTAAAATCAAAAAATAAAATCATCCTGCAATTAAGTTTGCACTTGACATCACTGCACACTTCTTGTTATGCTGGGTCAACATTCATTTTTATAACCGAATTGCCAATCTATAAGATGGGCATAAAACTCACAAGAAAAAAAATAGATATATTACTTTATAACAGAGTGATACTCAGACATCAATGAAAGAAAAATCTGTAATTAGAATTCAAGTAATTCAGACTAAGGGAAAACTAGACGAAAATTGCTGGTTTATACTGAACACTACTGCATGAGAGTGTACAACAACTCCCACTTTTTTATTCTTTTCTAAAAAATATGTTGCATTAATTTTAAGTATGATGCTCCATCTCAAGAGGTAATTCAGGTGAAGACAGATAAATCCATATGCCCATTTTCCCATTCAGACAATTTAACCAAAGCTGTTTGGTTAGTGATAAAAGAAAAAACCAAAAAAAAAAAAAAAAATCCAGTCAAAATTTCTAAAAGTTAAATGACAAACATAACCACACTGCTTGGTGCAATGTCTGTGTTAGAACCTGGGTACACTAAATCATGAATAAGCTTCCATAAATATATGCTCAAATTTAGCTTTCACCTACATACAAGGGGTACAGGGCCCCATGGTGTCAAACTTGAACATAAACAATAAAAGTTTCATAAGCTTTCAATTCTCCCAGGTTTATTCAATAATATTTTTCACTAAATAATGTACCATGTCAATATTACTACCATCTCTTTCACATCATTGGGTAACTATTATAATTTGATGAAAGCCTCATTAAAAGTACTATTGTGCTCCTTCTGCTTCTTTCTGACCAAATACTGTACCTTTAAAAACATAAAACTGATTTTAAAAAGTGCTAGGTTATTTAATTCCAGGAAGCAATATGCAGATCTAGAACTCTGACTACAGTACTACGAGCTCACAGGATGCTTATTTACCACTCATTTGTATCACAGACATATTTTTTGAAAAAAAAAATTATTTTCAGAATAGCATACTAGCACACATGTTTTAAAAATAAGCTTTTAAGAGGTCTTTTTTTTCTTAGAAAAACTCGGAGGTGTTGGAACTCTATCATTTGGATATCTACCTAGCTGACCAGAGGAACACGTGAGTGTGAAACTCTACCCGGTCCTTCACTGCTAACATAAATATTGGATGTCGCACAATAACTAGGCCCAGTTTTTAAAGTCCTAGGATCATTTAAACCATGGGAGACTTGCAGGAACTGATTCATGGCTGTTCCTGCTATGTTGATAAGAAGTCAATGAGAGCAGGCCCAAACCAACCATACACGAATTTTATTTTCTGTAAAACTACGAGTTATACCCTATCAATAAGCCGATTAATACAACCCAACTCATGCAAAGCCACACAATACTACACGGTATTAATAAAACATATTCAGTGCTCTTATGTTCAAGGCTCAGGGATGGCTTTACTAAGCACAAGGGCTTGGAAACAAACATGCAATGCCACTAAGTAATTTCAGTAAGAAGAAGTTCATTCGATATCTGTATGTATTTAGGAACTCAGCACAGATATATATGGCCAAGCAATGCTATCTTTGATATCACTAGGCAGCTTCCCCTGCCATGGCATTAGCAGCAAGAATCCACCACAGCATTTCATCAGGAATGTGCATGAACGAGGGCCCCCCTTCTCCCCGCCTTGCAGGCCGTGCTCATGCAGTGCAGCTCTCCTGGAAACCCGGACGGCGAGAGAGACTTTCCTTAAGTAGCGACAAAAGCTGAGGATTTAGCCATTAATGCCCCATCCCAGCGCTGATCCTCACTCAGCGCCGGGACAAGGCGGCCCCAGGCGCCCCTTCCCACAAAGGGGGAAGGCCCGAGGCCTTCCCGCTCTCCTCCCCGCCGGGCCTCGAGTCCGCTCGGCCCCGGCGGCCCCGGCTCGCTCCCCGCGGCCACCGCCAGGGACCCGCCGCGGCCTCCAGCCCTGCCCGGCGCTCCCTCCTCCCTCCTGCCCCGGGGCCTCCGCTCTCCCTCAGCGCGGGGAGGAGGAGCCGCCGCCGCCTCCTCCTCCCGCCGCCGTCCCCGCTCCCTCCCCTGAGGCCCGGCCCGGCCGCGAGCACCCGGTACCTTGTAGAAGGCCCCGTTGGAGCCCCGCACCTCCACCACCAGCTCCTCCATGTTGTGCGCGGTGCGGGAGACCCGGGCCCGGCGCCGCCTCCCTTCCCTTTCTCTGTGCCGGCGCAGGCGGGGGAGGAGCGGTGTGTGTGTGCGGGGCGGGGGCGCTCGGCTCACGCCGAGCCCGGGGGTGTGGCCACGCTGGGCGGGAGCGGGGGGCAGCGCCGGTAGCTCCGCTCGGCGCCGCCGCTGCGGGCCCGGGGCCGCCGGAAATGAAACCGAAACGGCGGCGGGCGGCGCGCGCAGGGCGCCCGGTTGGCACGCGAGCGCTCGGGGCCCACGTCACGTGACGGCAGGAGGGGCGGGGCGGGGGCGGGGGCGGCCCGGGGCCGGCGCGCGCCGCTCGCTCGCCCACCCGCCGCCGCCGCCGCCGCCTCTGTAACGGCCCCGCGCGCGCGCGCAGCCGCAGTGGCGCGCGCGGACCCGGCGGTTGCGGGGCCGAGGCCCCGCCTCCCCGCCCGCCGCGCGCCGGAGCGACCGCTCCGGCGGCCAATCGGGTCGCGCGGTGCCGCGCCGCGCGCCTGAGTGACCGGCACCGCCGGCCAATCAGATCGCGCGGCCTCACCGGCGCTGGCCGGGGCGCGCGGCAGCCTCAGCCGGGCCCGTACGGCGCGGGGGGCGGTGTGCTTGTCCGGGTGTGCCCGCGGCCCCGTGTGCCCGTGTGCCCGTGTCCGTGTGCCCGCCTCGGCCCGGGGCCGCCCTCAGCCGGGCCGCTCCTGAGGCCCCAAACGGTGCCGAGTATCGGCTCCGGGAGCGATGGCCGCGCAGGGCCCGGGGCAAGGCGAAGGGAATGACGGTCCGGGCAGCGCGGGGGCTGCTGGGATGGAGTGGGACATGGCGGCCGCGCCCGTGGGGTTCGGGGTCGGTCCCTGAGGGGCTGCCCTGTGGGGGGAGGAGGCTCAGCCGTGCAGGGTCTCTGCCTGCCTGGCCGTAGCCAGGAGTTAACAACGGGTGTGAATTGAGCACACACCCTGAGTCCTTTGTGCAGGTTTGGGCACCACAGGATAAGAAAGAGCTGAAGCTCCTGTCCAGAGGAGGCCGCGAGGATGGGGAAGGCCATTGAAGGGAAGCCGTGTGGGGAGCAGCTGAGGGCACTTAGTCTGTTCAGCCATGAGGAGACTGGGGAGAGAACCCATCGCAGTCTGCATCTTCCTGGCGAGACACAGACACTGCTTTCCGTGGTGACCCGTGACAGGATCCGAGGGAATGCCCTGAGGCTGCACCAGGGAGTTCGGGCTGGATATCAGAACAGGTTCTGCACCCAGAGGAAGGTTGAGCGCCGAACAGGCTCTCCAGGGCAGTGGTCACAGCCCTGAGGTTACCAGAGTTCAAGAAGTGTTTGTACAGTGTTTAGGCACCGGCCGTCCTGTGCAGGGCCAGGATTTTGATGATCCTTGCGAGTCCTTCCAGCTGAGGATATTCTGTGAATTGTGACTCTGCTTTAGGAGTGGTCCTGCTCCTGCGGGCGTGGTGCTGCTTAAGACCTGAACACCTCCCGAGGGGTCTGGCACCAGATGAGCTGAGCTGAAGGGATGTTTCCTCTGCCTTGCCCTGTCTGTAGCAGTTCCTTTGTTCAACACACAAGTTCTCCATGTAACACATACTGTTATTTAGGACTGTTGAAAAGAACTCCAATATTGTTGATTGCATCCTTCAGCTGCACTTAAACCCTCATGCACATTTCTACGTGATGTTGCGCATAGAGTTCACTGTAGAACCTGCTGGTGAATAAAGAGCTCTGGTATGATGGAACACGTACAACTTAGAGTGCACTGACACAAAGTTTCTTGTTCAGCCTTACGTTATACCTGCACACAGAAAACATCTTCATGTTTTCTAACATTACTGCAAAGAATCAGAGAAGGAAAAAATCCCAGCTGTTACCCCTTTATGTGCAGAAATCACAATGTATTACCATGTATTCCCATGTATTCCCATGGTTATGATTTCTCTGAACATGTGTGTGATGCTCTCCTTACATGAGTCGTGGTGAAGTTCTACACCCATTGCACTTATCAGACAAGCAGTCACAGGATTGACGTGCTTGGGGTGGCAGAGAGTCCAAGAGGAACTGAAGAAAGACAAATTTAAAGATGAGGAGCAGAGGAGCAATGACAAGTTTTTTTTGTATGGATAAAACCCCACCAGACAGATTCAATCTTACAGTCTCCATGAAGGAATTTAGATACAATAGATCACTGTTGTGACTTCATTTATTTTTTTTAAACTGGAAACCATATAAGTGCTTCATCTCAACATTTCAACAGTTGTCAGGAGTGATGATGCCCAGCTCTGAAAGTTAGATGAAGTTTTGTTGTTTTGCTTTTTTTCCCCATTCATTGTTTACTATAATTATTCTCTTTGTAAAGCAATAGGTTTGTCATAATTATTCTCTTTTTAATCAAATAGGTCGCTGTCATGAAGGCAGATAATCTCTGAGCAGACAGAATATAAAGGTGTCTAATTTAGCTCTGTCTTCCAGCGATGATTTCACTACTCTCCTCAAGATAAAAGCTGCTGTACTCTATAATCTTCCTTAATGCTTAACTTAAATTTTCTTTGCCATTGCTTAAATTTAACATTCTTTATTTTGACTTGACTAGTGATGTTCTAATCCTTGTCTACTTAATGAGAGCATGTCCATATCTCCAGAGCATACTCCCTAGTTTATCTGCTCCTTTACTCCTAACCTTTCCTCTTGCTTTCCAAATTACTTTCTTTTTCCTATTTACTGTGATTTTTACTTTGAACTATCTTCTTACTGAACTGTCCATGCCTTCTGCAGTGTGTTCGCAAATTAAGTAACTAGTTCTTAGACTACTAGTAAACTAGATCTTTCCCAATGTGTCTTTATTTCAAATGTGGTGACACTAAAATATACATCTCAGTAATTTCATTACAGTCTTTTACTATTAAAGGTAAAATGTTATTTAATTGATATATTAGACTTCACTGATAAATAATCATAGAATCACAGAAGGTTTAGGGTTAGAAGGGACTTGAAAGATCGTCTAGTTCCAACCGTCATGTGTCCAGTGACTTTTATAATTCAACCAAAATTCCCCACCCCTCCACCTCCTTGAATCCTTTCATATTTCCTGATCTCTATTGACCTGTTCCAAGTCCTAGGTCTGGTCCTGAAGATAGAATAGAAACCCAGTACTTCTATTTCTTACTCAGACCTGCACAGCTTGGTGCTTGCAGGCTGATCTGCTGACCGGATTTGTGGCCCTCTTGATTTGAAATACCTCTTTTCAAATAATTAAAAGGCAAAATAAACCAACTTTGACTATTATTCACTAATTGACTCACTCAAATGCCTTCTATAGAGAATGTGAGAAAAAGGTCCCTTCCCATCTCCTCAGGAAAGTTGAAGGACAGAAAGTGCAGGTGAATGACACTCCTCAATCATATCAGAGGATATGATCCTTGATCATTGGTACCAATTTAACTAATACTTTTTTCTGAGGATTTGTATCTTAGATGTTCAGTTGTTCATGGACCTTCACCAGGAAATGCCAGCCTTGGTTCCATACATTGAAGGAGTTAAGAATTTAAAATGTAGCCATTGGTGTAATTTCAGAACAGCAGCAACTCTCAGAGGCTTCCCCAACACTGCTCAGTGAAAGACTTCCTGCAGACACCAGGCTAACAGTGACAGGAACTACTGAGCATTTTCCTCACCTGGTGAGATTTACCTAAAGGGATGATCAGGGACTACAGATAAGAGTTACTCATGAAACATTCCTTTAAAAAGATGATAATCCAATTAAGTATCAGAATCTCTTAATGGAATTTTAGAGAGTCTTCCTTACTTACATACCTATTTTGGGCTTCAATCTTGACAAGATTCATAGAGATTTTAACTCAATGTTTCAATTTTCTATCTGCTGGTTTTCCTTGAGCATTACTTCTCATGGGAGCCTCTCCTGGCTGGCTCCTTGTCCCCTCCATTATGATCTGTGGCGGGCCAAACAGGTGATACTTAGACCTCCATATTTCCATTTAGGACTGGTAGTCACAATATATCTTATTTCTGACACTGTGATACTGAGACAAAGGGACTTCACATTCATGTGGGTTACATAGGATTCTGAGTTGTTTCAAAGAGACTAAACAATTCAGACTGTTGTCAGTTTTAAGCTGCAGCCAAACATTTCTGGGGGCACAAGAGTATTACACTCTTATAAAGATGGTCAGATGTTCTTTTCTAGTTAATTTGCATTATATTCTCAATAAAGGCTTTTTATATAATCTCACTGAAATTGTCATGTTATAATAACCAGATCAGCGCTTGGAAGAAGCAGTTACAGTTAATAGAGATACAAAGATTAAAAACTTCTTAGGCATTGCTTTATGAATAATCAATAATAGCTGAAGGTTAAATATGATCAAAATATTGTAGTTTTATTAGCTTGTCCTTGGCTGAAGTGATACACAGAAGTGACAGATATCCCAATCAGAGTGTAGAGCAGTGGGTGTTCCCAGATCTTGTGAAGACAAGCTGAACTAAACTAGGGAGGATTTGAAATGTTACTGTGTATGGACAAGAAATCAGATTATGCAATGCCTGTTCATTCAGTTCTTTGAATAGTTAATGTGAACTTTCTCTGGGAATGCTAATAAAATTCTCTGTGAGGTAGTGTTCATGTGGAGAGGCAAGAAAAGCACAACAATCGCAAAAAGACAAACCTGAATATTGCAAAATGATTAAAACAAAAAAAAATTATTTCATTACATGTATTAGGATGGTGGGTAATCTTTAACCTTGTAAAAATAAATTAGTGAGAAGAACCAACTAGTCTATTGATTTTCTGTCTAAGTTATTTAAGCTGACCTTCAATGAAACTTGACTGTTTTTCTGTTTCTTCTATAAGTCATTAGTTCATCTCTGCCTCTGAATATGTAATTTTCTGTATAGTAGCTGGGGAGTAGAGAGCCATCCAAGGTTCACTTTTGCCACAGATTCTACTTTAGTCTAGATACGTGTTTCCATGAGGTGG